ACAAAACTTGTGGAGTCCTGCCTGCACACAGGACTGGGGTAAGGCCTGAAGTCAGCCTAGCCCCTCTTCACAGGCTCCGGAGCTACAGCTCCTTTACTCCACATGGGTTTCAGACCCATTTAAACCTTCTCCAAACAATTACAATGAGCACTTTGCAGCTCCCAACTGCAGCTGTGGCATGCCAGCCATGGTCACACTGGCTTAGGAGGCAGCAGCACCTGAGCCTTCTCTGCAATGGGCCCACCTCACCGAAGGTGAGATGCAGAAGATGGGATGCAGAAGATGGGATGCAGAAGATGGGATGCAGAAGGTGGGTGCAGCTGCAGAAATACAAAGGAGCAGCATGCAGAAAACCAAAGGTGTAAGGTAAAAAGCAGAAGGAGAACACAGCCCCTCCAAATAAAAAATCTGGTAAGCTAACAAAGAAGGAAGGAGGAACTGTTAGAAGGGTGAAAAGATTTATCGTTAAAAAAACACCCTGCTTTTCCTGATGTGTTTATTTTGGGAACACAGTCATTGTGCATGTACAGCTTATCTCTGCAGCTCAGAGAAAAGTATAGATCAGCTCTCTGCTGTCACCTGACTGACAGACAGCTGCTGCTGCAGCAGAGTGACAGCTGAAAAGCCATGCAATTGATTCCAATAGGTCTTGCTCCATTGCAGCTAAGGAGAGGATTGTGTTCATTCTGCTTTTACTGAAGTGATTTCTTCTAATTGCCTACTTAACACCTTAAAAAATACCAGGAGATACAGGTCAGTGCTCTGTAAGCTGATGCTGGGAAAATGTTTCCAGGTACAAATGAAGATTTGCTTATGCTCAACACAAAGGCTGCAGTGAAAAAAATTAATGATGTTATCAGGTAAAGCAGGTGTTGTGGTCACACCACCAAGGTCACTGGCATTAACAAAACACTCTGAAAACACAACTGTGGCATGTTCCCAGCAAGGTGCTGGAGCGTTGTAGAGATAATGTGCTCAGCCTCCAGGGGAGAAAATGTGATGCGCTAACACTCACAAACAGCTGTTAATGGGAGAGCATTATGGACAGGAGAAGGATGTTTGACCTACCAGTACTTCGAAGGAAGATGTAAACTGGCTTGATTCCCCACTGCCTTGCCCCTGCTATGGCCTCCTATGCTTGTGCCAAGTAAATGCTAAATGCTCTTGCAAGGAAAGAGCTGAGTTTTACCACCACTTGCACAGATGCAAAAGTCTACACAAATTGCAAGGTAGGGGAAAATTAGGGCCTGGAAATGCAGGAAGAGTGGCTTATGCAAGAACAAAGTGAACAGGGAGACTCAGAAATGCAGTTATATAGAGACTAAGTGAAAATAGCATCTTTTAACTGCTCTAAGTGCCCCAGGAGCCTTGTGAGTCACAGCTACTTGCTTCTGTGACAGAAACACATTGTTATTGCCTCTTCCCAAGCTTGCTGCAGAGCCATTGCATGTAGCAAAGGAAAATACAACACCCTCCTGGATCAGAAGACTGCATCACCCCCGGCCAGCTGCGCAGGTTACTTCTGCCTAGCTTACACCCGCAGAAGGGTCGTGCAGCCCCTGTCTCACTCAGCCAAGCAAGAGCATTTCATTATTGGGAGCACAGGGCACAGCACCACTGGAGCTGAAACCCTCAGCCCTACTCCACGCCATCAGCAAACCCACACATGCCTTACAGCCTTGTTGAAGGCAGCAGTAGTGTTTCATTCACCACAACTTTTAATAGTGATAAAGGTGTGCGAGCAATAAAGAAGTGCTTGTCCTGCCCACCTCAGTGTGAACAGAGGGCAAAAACTATTTACCTGAAAATGAGCCTGTGGATCCAAGAGTCACTGCTTGAAGTCACCACGAGGCACTGTGAAGAGTGCATGTAGCCTGCAAAGACCTCCAGCAGCCACAATAGATTGTTTCTGAAGATACAGTCACTGAGAAATATCTCATTTCAAAAGGCCTTGGAGCCAGTGAGGCTGAAATGCCCAAGCATGCCTTCAGAAAGGAGCCTAACAGAACCACCTGCTGCCGGAAGACCAACATGGTGAGCCTTTTCTGAAACCTGAAGGGCTCCTCTGGCAGTGATTTAACATTCAGCTGGAATTGTTAGAAGCAAAACCAAAGAGAAAACCAGAGTGTGACTGTTTGTGCATGGAACATATGACTGAGCTTCAACAGCATTGGTTACGTCATTATTGATAAGTGGTTTTATATTCAAACCATTTACTGATAAACCCTTCAACAAAAACCACCTGTGGCATGCACACTTGCACCTGCTGCCTTTGTGCGCTCCAGCTGACTTGTTGCATGTGCAGTTCTGCATTGCTGGTACAGCAATACACTGGTAACGTCCTTCCCCCTGCCCACCCTTCTTCAGATGCACTAGTACAGCAGAGGCTGCTGAAAGAACCACCCAAAATTACTCAGTGGGGTGAGGGGAGAACAGAGTACTGGAAATGAATACTATTAGAGGGGAGGCTACTACTGCATAAAATGAAAGCTGTGTTTGGACAGCATTCTCTGGTGCTTGCAGACTTTACTATGTGCACCCGGATCCTGCTGGAGACTCAGGACCACCTCAGCTGCACGGCAAGCATTTGAGGCGATTTCTATTTTTATAATCTTCCTAGACACTTTCCTCATCTTCCATTTAAAGATGTATTTTTAACTGTATCCCATGCTCCTCCACCCACTAAACCATTTGCAATTCCCCCGCTGTTGAAATAGATGCTGTGTAGAATGTGAAGCCAGAATCTGCATTGTAGCTTCATTACAGAGGGATCCAGAAGATGACAATAAGACTAGTAGTAATCTTACTTATTGTATAGACTCTTTAATCAAGAGTCTATAGAGTATGTTGCAGATATTTTAAAATATGCTTCTATTTTGTTATGCTTGATGGTTTCTTCTTTCCTCAATAGCTACATTCCTTGACATATTACAGACCAAACTAAGCACTCTTAGTTCTGCAGTTCCTCAGATTTGAGAACCCTAGTTATAGGATTAACAGCTCAGCAGTGTTTGTGTCAGCAAACTAGTTCTACTTGTCACATCTGCTTGGCAGCCGAATATCACAGCAAAGAGGGAACACGTCCCCTGCTTGAGCACCACATTCTCCTCCTGCAGCCAGAGCTCATGAATGCATTCATGGCCCATCAGCTGCACTGCCAGAGCAGCACACCCTGTCCCAGGGCTTGCAGAGGTGCCACTGCCTGAATTCAGTTCAGAAACATTTTACGTAAGTGATGAGAATGGCTGCAAACATTTTGTTCAAGAGTTTACACAGCAATATGAGCTTCATACATAGCAAAAGCCAAACATAACTGATGTAGAAATCTTCCAAAATGTTGGAGACCTTGTTCCTCTCACCTGTCTTTTGGCCACATGCTCCTCTGGTACACTTTGATCACAAGGAGTCCACCCAAGCAGCAGCTTTTGGAGAGAACAGATCATTAAAAACACTATGTGTTCATGTGTAATTCCCAGTGAAGTGGTGTTTTCATGCTTGGGATGCCTAGAAGATTAATAACACACGCATCTCTGTTGCTGCCACGCTATTTTTATGTTGAGGACACCAGAACTGCACACAATACTCCAAGTGAGATCTCACGAGAGCAGAATAAAGGGCCAGGATCACCTCCTTCGACCTGCTGATCACTCTCCTTTTGATGCAGCCCAGGATACGGTTGGCTTTCTGGGCTGCAAGCACACACTGAAGCTGGCTCATGTTCATTTTCTCATCAACCAACACCCCCAAGTCCTTCTCCGCAGGGCTGCTCTGAATCTCTTCTCTGCCCAACCTGTAGCTGTGCCTGGGATTGCTCCGACCCAGGTGTAGGACCTTGCACTTGGCATGGTTAAACTTCATGAGGTTGGCATCAGCCCACCTCACAAGCGTGTCAAGGTCCCTCTGGATGGCATTCCTTCCCTCCAGCGTATCAACCGAACCACACAGCTTGGTGTCATTGGCAAACTTGCTGAGAGCGCACTCAATCCCACTGTCCATGTCAGCGACAAAGATGTTTGCAGCAATTTGAGAACAGCTAATAGGAAGGGTATCATCCAGCTGAAAACAATGCATTCTTTCTATTCACCCTAGGTCAAAACCCAAGCAGTTACAGTTTTGCTACAGCTGACTCAGACCAGATTTGAATCCAGCATCTAAAGCCAAATTAAATTTCACAATCCACACTAAGGAAGCCATTCAGCTTCTGAACTGGATCAGCTTTGATGCCATGGTAAAGAATTTCATTGAAATTCTTTATTGCTAAGATGAAAGACTCCTGTTCAGCAGCAGATATAATTATCAGACCGATCTTAATTAGATCCTGAACTTGACTTTAGGATCCCCAGAGGAGTATTGAAAGCTTGGTCCACTTACACTGAACTTGGTCCAGAACACTGAAGCTTATCCATCAAGATAAATATATTACTTGTTCTTTGATATGACAGATGCTTGATGAGTAACAGAGAAAATGCTTTTTTAACTATGATTTTTAAAAAGAATTATTAAGCTGCAATAAAGTGTATGCTGTTATCTTTGAGGGAAAAAAGTATACATTAAAAAAATTATTACAGAGCACAGAGAGCACATTTTTCCAAGCTGGTTTCAGAATTAAAAACATTTGAACAAAGGTTCTCTCTGTGGAGAGTCACTTTGTAACCAATTCAAGCCTTTAAATAGCTATTGTTTAAGAAAACTGTCAGCTACAGAAATTGTTATTTGTTCAGATTCCAAACTCTGTCAGGCCAGGTTGATTAAAATGTTGCACTTAAAAAAGAAAAAGGAAACAAAAAAAGCAACCTAATCACCCCTTATAAAAGTGAAAACAGCAACTCAATTTTTAAAGCATCATGAACAAAAGGCTATAGTCTATCTATCATTCACATATGGATTCATGTAATGATTCTTCAATTAGAATTATTATCTATACAGCAGCTGAAGACTGAGAACTGCTGATACACTGCAGATGGGAACATTTGCTAGTCTCTGGGCTCCAGCCTTTCTGAAAAAAATGATGATCGCACAATATAGATTGCTCAGTTTATATGTGTATTAAGCTGCAATGCCAGCATTTACATTTGCAACATTTGATTTTTGCTTTCTTAGGCTCAAGAGAATTTGCTGCATCTGGTAGATTTTATTTGCTTTGTATCTTAGGCAATCGTTACGCACAAAGTGCGATAGGCAGTATTATTGCTCAAACAGCCCTGCATTTTGTTCATTATCTTAGATACTATGAAAGAAGTAAACCAAGAGTGGGCCAGTGAGATGGGTCATTCTGTGCCAGTTTGCCTGCACTATATTATTCCAGTGCTATTTTTATAGGGCACATCCATCTGCTCCTTCATTTCTTCCACCTATATAGATCCAGACAGCATAAGATGCAATATCACAGGGAAAGGAAAGCATCTCACAGAACAGTTACAGGCACCATGAGGGGGGAAAGCCACTTTGGTGATTCAGATTACAGCGGTTTGAGGGGTCCTTGCCTATTCATGCACCCTACCCACTGTCAAGGGTTACTGTCTTCAGTAAGCAAGTAGCTGTAGAACATGTTCTTCAGAAGCAGAATGGGAGATGTGCTAGCTCTTCAGCCACTACTTCTCATGCTACTACTTGCAGTGTTCAGACACCCCCCATTTCAATATCTATTAATTTTGCAACCTCTGCTACAGGGCAGTAAATTAGAGCAGTAGACTAGGTAGCAAGAATGGTAACTCCCTGAACTTATCTTTCTGAATCCTCAGCTTTTCTGGAGTGTTTCAAGTGCCTGCCCATTCCTATTTCATAGCTGGAAAGCACATGCTGTGACCTAGAAGATGACAGAGATAGGTGCTATATGAATAGTAGCTGTGAGACAGCTCTACTGAATGGGCATCTGTTCCTGGTGTTTACATTAGAGATTCCTGCTGTGTGAACCCCAACCATGTTCTGAAGCCCAGGAAGCTTTCCTAGGTGTCTTGCTAGTAATATGGATGCTGGAGACAGCAAGTACTCATGGAGACTGAAGGATGTAGAAGCCTTTATTGACTCATGCCTATGTAGAGATTAGGAAAAGGGCTGCACAGTTTATTAACAGGTTTCTTACTTCACTGCACAATCTCTGAAGGATCTTCATAGAAGGCAAATACTGTTAATATATTTGTTTTACTCTATGTATTTTGGCAAACCTATCCCCATGTTACTACCATCTTTCACAGTACTACTTTTAGTTAGAGAGACCTGGCAGAGTCATGAAATCTCCCTGTATCTGTTATACAAAGGAAATGAAAACTCTGCTCATGGGTGTATGTTCCAGCGTTATTTTACTACTTTATTACAGCTACTGGTGAATCAAGAGTAAGTGATTTATGCTTTTCCTTGAAAAATATTTTTATCATGTACTGAATCTCCTGTTTCAAATATGCCATAACCAGGTCTTCTTCATTTATTTAAAAGTATATTGCCATTTGAATTAAAATTTCATTATATTTATAGTGACATTATATACTGCTTCTGTCTCTAAAAAATTAGTATTAATTAAAACTGAAAGCATTTACAGGGACAAAGCAAGCAAATAAAAAGACAAACTGGTACAACAGTTTACCAAAGTAACATAAACACAGATATTTAGTTCAAGAGTTTATACACTATGGTGGGGCACATTTCTCAAAATACTTTCAATTTCCTGACTTCGGGTAACTAAGATTTGTGAAGAAATTTAATGACACACAATTTATTTTTATGTTAAAATAATCATATTAATTTGTTTAAATAACAAAAAGGTTTAAAAGGTCAAAATCTAAACAAACCACTTATTTCTTTTCCTGGATACTTGTTTATAGAGATTTGTTGAAATTTTCAGCTTTGATTTCAAATGAGAAACATTTCAAAGACCAGAAATCACTACCTGAGAAAGCAGTTCAATCTATAGCAGAAGTGAGTGGATTATTTGCAGCAGACAACTTATTACGAGACCGCAAAAGGGAGAGGTTTCTTCCCTCAGAGAAGGTAACTGCTGTTTTCTTTGTTTTCTGGGTATCATCCAACAAATGCTTATTTTAGCTGCTACTGTGCACCTCCATAAACTGTAACAACAGTTCTAATGTTTGCATTCTGGGGCTAGTCATCTAGATCAGTAATTTCTACTCACTTAGGCACAGAACAGCAATATCAAAAACCAGGAAGAAAGGTATCACTAAGGCTTTGTGGTTTTCACTGGCTACTCCAGTATACTGAATACTGAGGCAGTGAGCTGCAGAGTTTTGGCTCTCAAGCTTGTGCAAGGGTTTTACTGACTGGAAAAGCTGAGGTATAACATGATCTCAAAGTAAATAGAAAAAGGGCGAGAGGAAGAGTGAGAGGGAGAAAGAAAAGAAAAATACATTTACACCTCCTTACAGCCACAAGGACTCAGTGGCCAAGTTATATTACATTTCTCGTAGGATGTGTTTGCACAGCAAGTAACTACTGTGACTGCAGTCCAGGGAGCCATACCTTCACAAGCTTAAGCAATCTAACGTGTAACTGTAGCAATAACCATGTAGAACCAGCAGTTCAATTTAAGCCTGAGATACAACAGACCTCACTAAGTGAGAGCACCTTCATGACAATTAGCATATCATTAACTTCTGCATATTAACGTGACCTTTTGTCAATTCATTTGAACACGCTGGACATACAATCCTTTTAAGAGCACCAAGATTTTGATTAAGCAATTTACAGAGAGGGCTCTGAAAGATACATGTCTCAGATCCCACCAAAGTAACATGAATACTTCCTGACATTTAGAACTCATTAACTGCAGTATCCCAAGTATCACTATATTACAGACAAAGCAAATGTCTTCGAACATGAGGCTCACTTTGAACAGAAAATGACAGAAATTATATTCGATGTAAACTGCATTTAAGAATAACTAGTTTTACTAGTTTTGCAAGCTACAGCACTGTCACCCCAGGGATATGGAACCTTTGTTTCAGGAACAGACTCTGAATCTATTGTCTGCTTAATTAATTGAAATGAGCAACTGCACACAGACACAGGAGCAACAGTGCCAAATGGCACGAGGCACTTCAGAACTGGAAGTCTATAAATTTTAACAATGACGGACTTAAAATGACAGAATACCCTCAGATATCACTGGCTCTTGAAACAGCTGCATTAATCCCACAAGGCATTCCTGCTCTTCAGTGTGTCTCTGACCTGATCACCCTACCAAAGAAAAGATGAAATAGGGAAAAAAGGATAAAAAACCCCAGACCTGTACCTCTCCACTCCACAACACCTTTACTTTCATTATCAGAATTCCTGTGGGTTGCTGAACTACGCAAATGCTTCCAAGAGCTGAGTACTGACAGGATACGAGGTATTCTAGGTTTTTCTTTGCCACTGAGGCCTGCTTTGTTCTAGGTAGTTTATGAGGTGAGAACACCTGAAAAACACTACTATTCCAACTCCATCACTTCCTCGCAGTTTTAACACTGTATTCATTAAGGACTATCCTAACAGTTAAATAAGTCTGATAAATGAAATTTAAAAAGTGTGCTGATGCAAAACAAAGATATTTTGAGAGCAATGAAATGTTTCTTGCTGGGTGGTCCATACCTAGGAAGGAATTCAACAATTGCTACGGAAAATTTTCTTAATCAAAAACATATAAATAAGCATTCTATGATTTGCTGGGCCAGTCACTCCCAGACTGAAGAGTCAACTCAGGGTCTTTATGAATGTAAAGCTTTACTTTGGCAGATACTAAGCGCATTTACATGCTGCAAAAAAACCTGTGTCTGGCCCTCTGCCTTAGAGAATCATCTCATTTTTTTTAAAGCTGAGTTTCACCCAACTTTTTGTTGTTGTTGTTGTTGTTTTCAGACCAGGAATAAATTTTCTGCACTGCAGATTCACAATGCTAACCCATTACAAACCTGACATTCTTCAAAGAAGAGCATATTTTCCTGTGTTACTAAATCAGTATCTTCTACTCTTCAAGTTGTTCTGTGCCTGTATCAGAATTACTTGTTTCATTTACAGTGTTTTCTTTCTTTCTTTCTTTTCTAGAAGTCTTCAAACACTTGTCGAGTCTTTTTAGGAATACATCTACATCTTGTTTTTTTATTCCAATTGCTGAGGCAGCATTGAGGTAAGCACAGGGATAGTCATTTGCATGTGACATAAAGCCTTTAAAAGTGTAGTTATTCACTGTTTGTACAGACCCACAGGGAACAACCCTGAAATAAACAAAAATGTGATTCGGTTAAAGATGCCTTGGATAGCTGATGCGATATATTATGATGGACACATTTTAACAAGTTCCTATACAGTGTAGTATCTGTTAACTCTAAACACATCAATGTAAGCAGGGTTACATCAGGCATTTTCCAAATTAGTGCCCAAGCATCACTGTGAATTGACAGTACTAGTAGATCCTGACTTAGCTCAAGTCTGCATGCACATGTGCATGCACCTTCCACTCTTCAGTTAAATTAAGGTCTTTGGTGCTGGTATTTATGAACTTGCTAGTGTAGAGGGGTAAGACACACCTGCAACAAACTTTCCTAATCCATAACAAGCTCTAACTATCTGACCTGCTCTTGTTTCTGACCTGCATCAGTTCACTGCTCCTTAGGCAACCGGGTGACCCTGAGCTCCTTAGGATCACCATCTGATAGCAGCCTTAGTGCAGACGTCTGCTTGGCAGTCCAAAATATCTTGAGTTCATGTGATTCAGAGCACTCAGGATCCCAACTTCATCCCACTCCTTCCTATCACATCTTTTTCCCCAGCCTATGATGTTAACCTCATATTCATTCCTTCCTTTGTAGCAGATACTTTTTGCCATTGCTTTTACCTCTTCCTCATACTAAGAGCCTCTACCTATTACACCCTATTTCTCAGCACTTCCAGTACATATCCATTTCCTGATAAATCAAGACACTAATCCACATCCTTACTTGTTAAAGGAACAACTTGCCTTGTGGCTATAGTTAAAGCCTACACAAGAAGTTAACAACAATCAATTGATAAGAATTTACTACCTCTACAGAGACGTTCCCTGCAGTTTATAAAAGAAATTGCATTCGGACAAATACCACTAGGATTAGCAGTTCCATCCTCTGTCCAAGTGCTCTGCCCACAGGTTACGCAAAAACCTGTATGCTGCCAAAGTAGGGAGTGGATATTTCTGCAACTGACATTCAGCACAACATTTAAAATCTGTTGAAATGCCAGGCCAAACTGTATATACTACAAAATAGTTAGTTGGTTTGCATCAAAAAAGGAAAAAACTGAAACCCTTATTTATATCAGGCAAAGAACTGGAGAGCTTTAACTTCCAAAATTGAATTTCTTGTATCATTTCAGCCAAAGATGGCTGAAATTGCAGAACAAGGCACAGTTAGGACAGGCGAATTAAAAAGAGCATCTAACTACAGCACATATAGATTTACTGTCATTCATTTGTGCAGGAAGTGGAATAATCCAAGCTAATGAAGCATACCTTCTGATGTGGAAACACTCAGCTCTGTTACAAAAAAAAGACATTAAGTCTATGGCAGAAGTTAACATGGCAGCAGCTAGCATGGCAGTAGTAATATTCAGATTAAGGAATCCTGCCAAAACAAATTTTAAATCATTCTCTTCTTCTAAAAGGTTTAAACCAAAACCATTAAAAATTATTTGGCTTGCATTTCCATGTACCAGTGTCTCTAAGAATAATTTCATCTCAGATTGGCTCAGGTTGTAGACTTTTTTATTTCTTTTTCTTTTTTAGCACAGTCAGTTACAGGAAGCAGGATTTTCTTCCTTATGATAAAAAGCTATGTAGAGTATTAAAAGCTTATTCCCCAGCATCCAGCACAACCGTGTTTGTGCTGCAATAAACAAAACAAAGATCTTCCCTAAATAGCTTACAACTTAACTATAAGATCAGACAACAGCTGGAAACTAAATGAAACCAAGGGGTACTAGGGAATAATGACACTAAATTAAATGGGCATAGATTATCTATTTAGCCTACCAAAGCTAACAAAGGGGCCCTTGCTGCTAACTCAGGAAGGTAGACATTACTAGTAGATAACAGTGAGGAAGAGTGTATTACTCTGTGACTGGTTATTGTCAAACAGTAATCTGTAATCACGAGAGAACTGGTACAAAACAAATATTACAGGATTTCAGGAAATACATGCTAATACAACCCCTCATTTTTTTCAAATTCATAGCATCCTCACCTTGCTCCAGAAACTTGTCTTGTGAAAAGCATAGATCCAAGCTGGGTAACAGCAGCATCATTATTTTCATCTAGATTCTTCAATGACATGGCTAAAATAACAAAAGGTCAGGTTAAAACTACTACAAAGCTTTTATTCTCCAAAGAACCACAGAGGACAAGCTGTTTTCCAACAATAAAAATCTAGCCAAATCTGTGCTCAGATACAAAAAGAAATACAAATGCTATGTTTAATCATTTTTAATTTTCCCACAGGTTGTCATAGATTACTTCTTTGGTTAGACTGCCTGTATGTAAGGCAGATTTTGCACAGGTAGGCAATATTACTTTTGTGTTCAGCAGAATTTTTTATTAGAACAAATACCTCGAGTAGGAATTCCATAATCTCTTTTACAGCACTATAAGATGAATGGTAAAATAATTATACCATAATTTATTTTTAAATCTACTTTTCTATAAAGTATTACTACATACTAACATCTTCTGCCTGCCTTGATTACAATAAATGAGTATGTTGGACAGGAATAATTTTGTAAAATAATACAGGGCCCAAGTCACTACTCTACTTTTATAGTAGGTTACCTTATTGGGTTCAGTAGTTTCATATCAGTCTAAGAACAATTCAATGTAGTGTAGTGAACTATGCTTAATATACAGGAACTGTATGTGGAAGTGCATTATGAATGCACATCATATTAGAATTTTGTAAAAGATAAAACCCAGCAATTACCTAAGGAAATGGGATTATGTGGTGTGTCTAACAGCCTCTCACTGTGGTTATCTGCCAGCTTCTTCAGCTCGCTTGAAAGATAGGAAAACATCTCCTGGAAAAAAAAAAAAAAAGATGCAGTATTTTCATTATTAGATATCAAACAGAGAAAACAGTTCCTATTTCACAAAACTGTTAAGTCTCCATTATATCCTACAGGTGTACAGCTGATCCTCTTTTCATGTGTACCAAGTAAGTGGGCCAGACAATTCTCTGAAATCATTCTATAAAGGAACAGCTCCATTTCCTGAACACTATTTTTCCCCCTCAAGCTGCTTACAAAGCATTCTATCTGGTCTAATCTATGTGCTTGGGATGTCATTCTCTGCACCCCTGAAACCTATGCAGGTAAAATCTTCAGGAGATTGCCACTGCACAGCAGGTCTTAGCCCACACACCCCTGCAGGAGCTTCCCCCACCCCAGCCCCTTGAGCCACAGAGCATGAACAAATGACCATGTTATGGTAAATTGCTCCTTACTTTTTTCTCTACCAATACATTCCAGACTAAAAATAGTGCATGTTGATACCATGCATCACACAATCACAATTACCACTAGTGCACAGATTTCTTTTTCTGTATGAGAATGGCAATACAGTCTCTTAAGGGGAAGGCTATGAGAACACATTTGAAGGGATTTCGTTTCACACAATTTGTACTCTCCTGAATACTCAGTTCTGTTGTCTAGCCAGTCCTCTTTCTGGAACCAGCCCCTCCTGTTCAGGCCTACTAAAAGAATGGAGTTACCTGAATTTCTGCTATCACTTGATTAGACTGCACCTTTGTTGTGAAAGTATCATAAAGCTGAGATTCATAAATGTTTTGGCTCAGATACAAGTCATTAAAGGCTGCTTCTCTTCATCCATATTTTATTTCCTCCCTGTTCCTCAGAGGTAATCTATGATAATTGCTGATGGTCTTTCTCAGTTTCATATCTTCCTTTTCACATATCAGCTCAAAACACTTATGGACAGAGTGAGAATAAACACTATTCTTATTGCATTCTTTGGCTTCTTTTCTATCCTTCTTAACACTTAGACTCTCATAAAAACTAGCAAAAAAGATACAGATACTGGGTAGTCTTTCTAAAAGATACTGAACACCAGATTTTTCCTCTTTCTGGCCATAAAGATTGTGCTGCTCATCTGCTTCAATATGACTGACCATTTAAGCATTCTCATCAACTTCTGGACAAGTGATCTGTCATTCTATAAATAGACTTGCCTATTCTGTTTGTAGACCATTATCCTGTTCTGATCTGTGGACTCTGACAGATACAAATTAGAGCTTGTGATCAAAAGTATGTTTCTGAGCAGAACCTCCCAAATATGAAACCAAATGAGTTTTGCAGTAGCTAAGTTAGAAGAATGTTACAGCTGCTCTTTTGAGCCACTGCAGTGAACCCAGTCTCACTTCATGTGTGACCAAACGAACACAGTTCCTGCCCTGTTCTTCCTAGTACCATAGAATGAATTCGGCCAGAGAGAAAAAAGGATCATCTTACAGTCTAACTGAATTAGGCAGTTGATTCCACTATCAACATGAACGTAAAGCTTCTGTAATACCTGGAACAGCAACAAAAATTTTGAAAGTCATCTATGGTTAATTCTCAGAATTTGAAATCTATGAAGAATCATTTTTCAGAGGTGTTTGTAAATGAAGTGATTTTGTGGCTTCAATTCAGAGTTTATTTACAGTTCACTAGCAGAAGTTGAAAAATATTTATGTTTCAAATGTTCACACTTTTGCCTCCTTTCTGGTCCCCCACTGAATATAAACACATTACTCTCTTCTTACTCGCTTTCCACATTAAGCATCACCAATTTATTAGCCATTTTATTAGTATTTTTTTTAAATCCAAATCATACATTAATTTGTGCTCCCTCTGCTGGCTATTCTACAACCGAAGCAAAGCGTTACGGAAACATATATAAACTGTGTCTACTGTGGAGATATAATTTGTGAAATTAGTATTGAGAAAAATCTGTACTAGAAAAAAAAATACCAAATAATTACTTTTTGTGTGTCGTACCTTGGGAATTCTCAGCTGCATTTCTTGCAGTATTTATTACCAAAAGAACTGCAAGTCTGTATAACCAGTTATCCACTGTATAAATGTATTAAGATTAAATATCTAAGTTAGTAGATGAGCCTTTGCATACATAGAAATTTGTTAAAACAAGGGAGAATGGAATGATGGCCAAAAACCCCTCCAAAACATCCAAGTATGCATTCTACTTGATTGAGACTGCCTGAACACAAATTCAAAACTTCTTGTTTTTATGAAAGACATTATTTTGCACCTTTGGATTGGAAGCCCTCTAGATATTTCATAGTTTCAGAAGTTAAGCAGTTTGTTGCAAAATAGATTAATGGCCTTTAGATAAAAAAAAAGCAAAAAAGCAATATATTTTTGTGAGGTCGAATCTATAACCAACCTCTATTACAAAATATTTTTGTTACGTGGAAAATGCATAAGCACCCTCAGCAATTACATACAAATGAACTCCTACATAATCGATTTTCTGTGGTAGGCACTCAAGTTCTCTCCAATGAAGTTAACTATCATGCTAAACTTGCATTGAACAACCCAAGCACTAAATGTCAGTTAAGCTTCATGATTTAATTCACTTTTTCCCCTTAAAAACTTATCACAAAGCAACCTCACCAAGCTAGTGAAATGAATGCTAAACTACATGAAAATGTCTTGCACTTTTTCTGGTCCTTCTAGCACTTAAAAAATACAAAGAGCAAGTCAACAATGGTGTGTGCATCAGACATGCCAAACAACTCAATTATTGAGAAAAAATGGCTTACTTCCACATAATATATAATAATACATAAAGTTATAAGAATCTACAAAATTATATAATCTACAAAAATATTTTCAAGAACTTTCATGACAATTACTAAAAATATTTGTATCATAACGTATTTACATTATAAATCTATTTTTTAATAGAACATACACTAACTATGGGTGAGTATTCACTCATTTGTTCATGTGATAGGCATTGTTCTCCCAAATGAAAATAACTAGAGGGAAATCACTACAGAAAATGCCAGTAACTCCAGAGAAAAAGTAGGACACAGGGATACTAAATATGCCATTAGTCCTATATCAGTGACAGAGAACTGGTGAAGGCCGGAAAGCTTTCTGTGCATGGCTGAAACTATCCTACCTGGTTCGAAGCACCCCACTTGCTTACACTCTGAGTCTGTAACATTCCACCTTCCTGCCTGTTCACTCTCACCTGAAAAGAGTTGTCCTCCTAGAACAGCCATACAGCTGCATATGGTGCTGAGGACAACACTGCAGAAGAGCAATTTAACTACCTCTGCGCACTAGGTGCAGACTGTCAACTCACATATGCTGTACCTGAGGCTGGTCGGGTCCCATCTTAAATCAGGTTACTGCAGCAGCTGTTTATAATGCAACCATCATAACCTCTCTTCTGCTTTGCGTAGCAGACTGACCAGCTGCATCTGATCTGTGAGCTGATCAGACCACACTGCTTCGTGCAAAGAGAGGCTGCAGCGCTGCTCATGGAGATGTGTTAGTACATGCCCCAGAGAGCCCCTGTAGAAGGCTTACCTTCTTGAAATGCAGCCAAACACATGATAGACACTGTACGTGTACATGTGTGATACCTACAAATACCACATACCCTCATACCGAGATTGTTTTGCATTGCAAGATCAAGATTTCTGTTCTGAATTTATAACATACTGGAAAGATTTTAAAATACAAAATTAGTTATGGAACCTTTAAATCTTTGTATCTTATGTAAGTAATCTAACAGAAAACACTCAGCAAGTCTTGGCAACCTGATATGGTAACACTAATGCTGACAATCACCACACATTTTTTTTCCTCCTTAAAGGTCTTTAACAACACCAATCAACATATTTTCTCATCAGCACCTTCAAGACCTTGAGATCAGGCTCCTTACGGGCCATACCTCTCCAATGCACACCTTAGATACACAGGCCTCTTTGAAACTTCCATTCACACTTGGCACTTGTTTAACTGCATAACACCATTTAAGATAATGGTTACATTCAGTTAAACTATCTTGCCTTCAGCCACTTTAGAATTTGAATATGGTTCCACATATTTCACACAAGGAAAATCCTGCAATATTCCCACATCTGACAAACTACAGCATAGCAAACTGACTAAAGAGGAGTAACAAATGTCTGTCTTGTAAAAATATTTAAAATCTTACATTTTTAATATCCAGCATTAAATAGCTTTTCTCTTATTCTTCAATCATAAATAGAGCAGCAATATAAACTCACACTGAACTGTACAAATAATTTATTCCTATCAGAATAATTACAACAATGATAAACCACATTGGAAAATAATTACAGTTATCAAACCCGATACGTAGAGTCCTGAACATAAATCCTGAATGTAGCGTCCTTGTCCTTGCTCTCCAGCAGTTCTGAGGTAGCAACTGAATTCTAGTGTTTATGCAATACAATGCACTCACTAAATCTGCTACATGTGGCCTGGTTCAGTCACACATACATGCTCAAAAAGAGTTTGAAGACCCAGGCATGCAGAATATGGGACACAACACAGCCTGTACTGAGGAAATCAAAGTTGTTGCTACAAAACCATAACATTTACATAATATTATGAGTGCTTTAAAAGCAAAGATATTAACATATTTGACTATGAATCAGCTGTCATTATCTGCATTACCGAAGAACCTAGAATTTCCTACTGAGATCAGAAAACCATTGTTCTATAAAAAGGAATGCTGAAAATTTAGAATAAGTGAAAAAATATTACTGTTGGTGGTTGCTTTCCATCCTTTCTCTGAAAACAGCAAGGCTAAATATAATGTTGACAATATTTCTTATTATGCTTTTATATATGGCCACCTTTACTCAGACACCTGGACAGTGTATGTGTTACTTCCTGCTCTGGTTCCTCAGATCCATTGTACCATTTTACTCCTTCATATCATAACATACAATCTCCTGCTCTTGGACAATTACACACCCCACAACTGTCAGCTTGTCAGAAAATCCTTTTCCACGTATATGCTCCTCTCCCTTGTATGATATCTTCCCTGCCTGTATTAAACCATTCATCTGCGTAAAACTGTGGAGGCTCTCTCTTTTCTTGGTTTTGCAAGATTAAACTCTTCTCAGCAATATTCTGCTCTCTCTGGCTTAAGCTCAAATAACCTGAAAAAACACCCATGTCAGTAAGGATATGGTAAAAAGAAAAACGAAAAACCCTGAGTTTTTTATAGCTGACTTTTTGTGCAAGTAGGTGCAGCTGCACCGATATAGAAAGGAGTACTCAATGTCAAGCTATAAATAGCTCCTGCTGGGAGCCTAATAGCTCTGCCGTTGCTTTCACACAGCACAGGCAATAAACTACCACTATTACATTTTTATAACTCAGGAACAAACAGATTTAAGCAAAAAAAATAAATAAAAGTTTCTATTTCTAAGTAAGTCAAATAAAAGAAACATATTTATGTCACAAATAAGGCTGTGTTTATAGAGTACACTCACATACTCACATTTGAAATAAAAAGACCTGAAGTTGTAAAAATATAATGCTTTATTCACTTTAGACTCCTACTTCCAAGAAAATTACACGAGTCAATATATGCAGCTATTTATTAGGACATTTTATTTACAAAATAATTATGATTTATGACTTAGAGAATATATATACTGCCCATTATATCTCTGCTACCAGTGTAAATCTAACAGCAAAATGAGCTTTGCAGAAAACGTGTTCAATTCACTTGGGATTCTTTGGTAGATGAGAGTGAAGGGGGGGAAAAACAGAATTTGATTTTAATGAAGACACAAACCATACATGGCAATACATACAATGTTGTATGTACGGAATAAAATGTTAGAAACTGTACTGCAAAAGTGGCAATTGCTTTTAGTGCTTCATAAGCCATTTAGTTGTATAGATCGCTTCTTAGTTGTTGTAAGGCTATTAAAGCAGGTTTGGTTTTCCTATAGTCTAGTTATTCCCATGGGATTTCAGTTCCAGCACAGAATTTCTGGATGCATCTACAAGTAGCTAGAAACAAGTCAGAGCATCTAGTACTATTGCCCTGCCAGGTAATCAGACACATTAGCAAGCTGTCAGTAAGAAACAACTGAAACTTAGTTTCTAAATAAAATAATGGAACAGGTAATGCATGATTTTGCTACTAACAGTACCTAACTCTCAGCATTTCCCTCTACGGAATGTATTCTATTTATATAACATCACATATTCTGTGATATTACATAAAGATAACAAAATCAGGTGTATATGTCCAGAATTAAGAACAACTGAAGATGTAGAGTTTCCATGCTTAGACCACCACCTGTTCGTGCAACACAGTTATACCCAACATAAAACACAGTCTGTGACAGGCAAAGAAGAAACTTAACTCTGTATTTAGATGAACACCCTCAAGTGACAGGATTTTTCCTCTTTTTGTGGCATGCAGTGTTTATATCCTAGCCAGAAGGTGTGACTCTCCAAAGACTGTGGTACACAAGCATTTAATTAAACACTATTGTAGCACAAAAGCACAATTGGGCCAAATGAAGAAGAGTAGAGACCCTTGGTTTACCTCCGAGTGTCCAGTCTCATGCTTTATTCATGGAAGCAGTGTGACCATGATAACACAGCACAGTACTTCTCAGATACAGCTTTTGGGGGCAAAATTCTACTGTATTAATTGCACTTTAAAATAAGTATGAATACTGTACAAGATAGTGAAGTACCTCAGTTTAGCTTTCTAGTCTGGAAAACAACATGGAAATCATGCATACTCATGAGCACTATTTATACAAGAAGTCATTTTATCATACTGCCTTTCCAGATTCAGAGCTGTGGGCTCAGAAGTTCAGTATCTTTTGAGACAGAAACTGAATTTACTACACAAAGCAGTTCTGCAACAAGACTTTGTTAACAGCTGACTTCAAGAACATGCTGCTTGCCAAAAACCTTACCTTTCTCTCTTTCAGTAACCGTTTGTAGCCACTGGCACCTAGAGACAGAAGTGTAATGAGGACATCTAAAGAAGGGGTTGCAGATGCTCTTCCTGGAAAAAAAAAAAAAACAACCAAACAAAGCAAAACGAAACAATAAACAGATTAAATTAGCAGAAATAAATTTTACGTGAAACAAGCTGATAATCAAGTTTTCAACAGTTATTTTGTATGGATGAAATCAACCCATGAACTAGTTACCTGGATACATTTTGCTGATCTCCTGAATGAAGGATTCATTGAAGCCAGCAATGATAGCACCACCTACTGGAACCATAAAATTTTTGTCCAAGCTCTGAACAAAAGCATCTATTCTGCCTACTCGAGCACCCTTCATCAAAAAGAGAAAAATAAAATTCACAGCATACGTTAGGAAATAGGAAAAGTGACAGCATCATAACTACACAGTAGCAATGTAACTAAAGTAAACACAAGTCCCAAAACACTCTCACATACTGTATTTGTGATGAAAAATTAAAAATCTTAATATTACCTTTTCTTAGCATTGCTCACTATTATTACCATTGTCTTCTTACATAGTACCTTACAAATTCTTATTCTGCTGTGATTTAAAATAGTCATTTTACTTCTTGCAAGTCTAAGTGTAGTTTATTTTCAGCAACTAAAAAGAAAACCCTTGGAATTTAATGGGACTTGCACAGTTAAAACTGCACAACTCAAAGTATTTCACTGATTCTCACAGTAAAGGGATAGAGATTAATGCTTCATTAGCAAAGAAGATTTTTCTTGATGTGTGTTTAAATTTGCATTAAACCAAGTGGGCTGTGACAGCACTCCAAATAAGGCTGCTTGCAAAATCACGATCCAGATAACTTCCTACAGCAGGATTCCTCACTTCCCAGGAAACAAAATGTCTTTATACCTAGCCTTTCACATATTCTTAAAGGAAAAAAATGTACAGTTCACGGTAGCGTATTACTCAAATTGAAGATGTACTGCAGAATCTACAATTAAAAAGTATGCAGCATAACAGAACCTGAAAAGCATATTAAAGAACATACATATTAAAGTACTACAAACTAAATCCAAGAAATAAAACAGAATTAATAACTATGGCAAAAAGAGTGATAAAAGCGAATCCATCTGAACCTCTTATTATTTCTCTGTTTTAATAGCTTAGTGCTTGGGAGATATGAGGAAGCATTCTGAGTTTGTCAGCTTTCTGATGGGAAGAAGAATGCCAGCAGCTATCATTTGATTTAATTGACAGGAGACTACCAGAGGAAAAGCATGACAGATGAAATGGTCTCAAAAGCTCTTTCCTGTGATATTCTTGCGTGTTCTGTTGACTGTGCTCAGCATGTACATATCCTTCATTAATAACTACTTCCTCATAAACAGTACATTTTCCATGGCAAGAAATACAATTTTGTAAATAAATGTAAACCAAATCAGAGCTCAAATGTATACATTTGCATAACCAAAGAACCAACAAAAACCCCCTAAATAACCGATCACGAAGCCAAGAAAACAAACCAACTCCAAAAACCAGAAAACCACACAGTAATGGTTCCATTTGTAGCTTCACAGTCTGAAAAACTATCACTAGGTACATTTCATGCAGTAAACCTCAGCAATTCCACAGCCCCCTTAACGTTGAAACTTCACTAAACCTGTGCAAGCTAAATAGAATCCTATATCCTATTAAAAAATTACCCCCTATTCTTTTGTTATGGGCACCAAGAGAAGAGAAATACTGAAGAAACAGTGCATGTACATTGCAATGAAGAAAAACACAAAAATTCTGTTTCATGACTGATATCAGATATTAAGCAACCTCATCTTCAAAATGAAGAGCAGCAGAAATTAAATGTTTTCGAGCTTAACACTGAGCTTAACCCAGTTTCCTCAGCTGTTCTCTGCGCCAACATTCGAAATGACGTCATCTAGCAAGTGTTGCTGTAGAATCTTGTATTTTCAATTGAAACTGTGTCTCACATTCTGCCGAAGGCTTAATCCCTGTTTAAGTATGATCCATTACTTTATTTTTTAATCAAGTTTATGAACTATTTTAAGAAATTATGAAAGACAAACATAAACAAAACCTAAATAAATTTGCATTCATTACATAAAAGCACATAACAGAAATAACAAATGCTATTTTAAAGTTCCATTTCCCTCTGCTTAGAAAGTTGTCCAAATACCACACACACGGGATTAGTCTCAAAGCTGTGAAACATCTGATAAAATCTGCTAGTGTTGTCTACAAATTTACTTATACTTGTCATTAAAAAAAAAAAAAGCTATTGGAAATACACAGCTCCTACCTGCTGGATAAGATGCATACATTTTGAAGACTGAACTCCATACGCATTGTTGACAATATGAGGAATGTCATAATTAGCACAAATCACAGCCAGTTCCTCCAGTCTATGAGCATAAAATTGTACTTTAGAGAAGCATTGATAATTGTAACTCACGTTACAGATCAGACCATTAAAAAACAAAAAGGTCTACAAAGAGGTCAGAATGATAAAAGAAACCTTCTTGATTAGTACCTCAAGGCAGCACTTGCCACCTTAAGCTATAAATGTTACAAAGAAAACTCTGTTATAGCTTTTACATGTACTACAAATTGTTGACCAGACCTGAAATTTTCCATGCCTCACTGAAAGTTTTGTCTGGAAACCAGTAAACAGATCCCAAATCATTGTTTCAGGTATCAGCATTTTTTATACTACTTTAATAATAATTAATGATTAGCTATTCACACTTTTTTGTCTTAATTTTCTTCTAATACTCTACTTGAAAATGACCTAATGGAAATTTCGAGATGTGTCCTGGGAATCAAAATCATCACATAACAGGAAATTTCACTTGCTTCTGTTTATTTCAAAGAACTAATATTTCAACCCTTTGGCTGAAACTTCACTTGCGCATTTCAGATAAACTGATTAACAGATATTCTTCAAAGGAGTGGAAAACCCTAAAATGTCTGAATGTGGAGATCAACAGACTAAAACTGTGTTCTGTTTACTCTTCACTTGCCTTTAGAAATCCCTGAAACAACAGTAAACTCAGCCTGGATTGATTTTTCAGTCAAACTGGGACTTAGGTGGGTGCATAGGTCCTTTTGGGTAAGAGCCTGAATTCAGCATTTTAAACATACATGTACATTGTACACTGTACACTTTTTTGAAGCGCTCCAATCATGCTCTATTAGAAAAAAAGAACACAAAAAAAACCCGAACAACCCCCCCCAATATTCCCCAAATTTGTGAATATATTTTAGAAATTAAATCTATTTGAAAAAAAATGAGGTAATATATAATAATTTCAAGTGATGATAAAGGTAATATTAAAAAAAAATAATCTGGAAATGCTGAACTTCCCATGCATTTTTACTCTATCTCCTTCTGTACAGCCTCTCACTATAATTTACCGACATTCATATAAAATGTGACAGAGTATGAAAACACTTTCCAGGAGGTGACATTCCTTTGCATTCTATTTCTATTACACTGCCTAGTGTCATCTTGTAATGCAAAATTCAGCTGCAAACTTCAGATTAAATTTTCTGAACCTCAATCCTTAGAACATCACCACCACTGTGTTATCCCTAAAGAAATCACAAGTATTTAATGATTAGGAAACACCAGTAGTATAATCTATGCATTGATCTTCTACAGTCAAGATATTTATCAACAGCTGCATGTCAAATAGTTTTTCACATTTATCAACATCCTGAACAATGTAAGATTACCAGAATACTTCAGGAAACTCTAACACTACAGAGGGCAAAGTTTTTGCCTTCTCTTCTGCTGAGTTTAATCAGTCATTCCTCACCTTCCACAGAGACTCAAAGGAAAACAGTTCTCCTCTTAGAGACTTCTTTTCAAGTGCAAGAGGAGAATTTCACCAAACTGGAAACAACAGAGGGTGTCATGCTATAGGTGCTTGTCTTTCTCACTTTCTGAGGCTTACAGGAGCAATAAGCTAAGCTAGCTTCTTCAAGTACTGCTAGCAGAAAGTCTCTTTTTCCTAAAGATATTATACTGAACTATTAGATACACATTACAGCACAGGATGAGTGTGCTACAGTTTCAAACGAATATGGATTATGTAAGGGAACCAAATGATCATGCACAGCACTTGTCCACTTCCAAGGCTTAAAATGAACCATTAAAAGAGCTGCTGGTCATATCAGAAAAAACAAAGCATTAATGTAAGTTTGGCTACTACTCAAGTTCTTAAAAGTCACCAATAGGACTTACACAAATATTTTCCAATTTATTCTCTCTCCTGTTTATGAAAGCTTTGCATTTTCTTCTATTAATGAAAGCAACAAGATACAGAGTACTGCTAAGTACATAAACTAACTGAAAAAGACTCTTAAATACAGTAGTTTTAGAAACTACTGTATAGCAGCAGTTGATGAAAGACTGTGAAAATTGATGCCTCTCAAATGGGGTTTATGCACTGGTGAATCATTTCCATAAAGTTAAACAATACTTGGAAGGAAAACTATAGGTATACAGGCATAAAACTCTTACCCCGACCTTAAAACAATCCTAAACCACTTAAAATTTTAAAACACCACCACAACTAAACAAAGCCTTACAAATGCAAGATATCTAAAAATAGACGTCTAAAATGGTAGTCTCCACAAGCGCTGTATGGGATTTTCCTTCCTGCAGGAAGATGAATGTTATGGCCTTCAACAGTTGACAGTATCCTTTAAATAGGAAGTGCACTCAAATCCTCCTATATCTGTGGTATATCATGACACAGGGCCACTACCTAATAATTCATCTCTTAGTTGCAGAGGACAAAACAACTGCATGTCAAAAAAGGGAAGCAGATAAGGAAAACATTCATTTACCCAAGCTATAAAATAGACCATTCAATTTTGATAGCTGTGATTTAAGTTAGCCAATAAATCTGCAAGTCAACCTCAAGCAATGTTCATAGTATTCTTACAGAATTATATATTTTTAACTTGCCCCCAGCAACTGGGTTAGCCTATGATAAATACTGAGATTTTTTAAAGGTAGGAGAACAGAGTGAAACATACCTTTAGTTGCCATGTTTCAGAGTCAATGTTTCTTTCCTACACTTGCAAATGTTCAACTAAATTTTCCAGATAACAAAACAATTAACAAAAAGCATGCACTGCAGAGGAACTCTGCGTCTTTTCAATTTTGTGATAAACTCAAACCAGCTTTACTACTGAGACAATGCATTTAAAATCATGTAAAAAGAAAGGCTTTTTACTAATACCTCATATTTCAGTGTACTACATGCAGGCCCATAAAAATATGCCTATCAATTGTTAAACTTAAGGAATTTGCTTCTTTATACTTATTTTCATTATATGGAGAAAGCAGGTTTTGTGAGCAACAATGGTGCTCCTTTTTGGATAAATGACTCAATATACCAAGTACTTCAGACACCCCTACTCCAACACGTCATTTTCAGATTGATTTTTTCAAGTATTTCACAACCTAACTACAACATAACCAAACTACAAGCTGAAATAATGTCTCAGATACTCTGTTTCTCATTCATAACCATGTGTTCATCTCAGCTTGAGCAAGCACTTGAATGACATCTTCACAGCAACTATGGAAGTTATGTAAATGGACACATCTGAGTTGCAGTCAATGGTTCAATGTCCCTCCAGAGTTCAGAGACAACTGGTGCCCTCAGGGATCGGTATGGGGACTGGTGCTGTTCGATGTTTTTGTCAGCAACATGGACAGTGCGACTGAGTGCTCCTTCAGCAAGTCTGCAAAAGACACCAAGCTGCACGGTGCACAGGAGGGAAGAGATGCCATCCAGAGGGACCTTGGCAGGCTGGAAAGGTGGGCCAATGCTAACCTCATGAAGTTCAACAAAGTGAAATGCAAGGTCCTGCATGGGGGTTGGGGAAATCTCAAGCAGAAATACAGCCTGGAAGGAGCACAGATTGCAAGTAGCCCTGAGGAGAAGGACTTGTGGGTGTTAGTGGATGAGAAGCCCAACATGACCTAGCAATGTGAGCTTGCAGCTCAGAAAGCCAACCATATGCTGGGCTGCATCAAAAGGAGCGTGACCAGCAAGTCGAGGGAGGTGACTGTGGCCCTCTACTCTGCTCTCATAAAACCTCACCTGGAGCACTGTTTTCAGCTCTGAGGCCCCCAACATAAGGACATGGAGCTGCTGAAGCGATTCCAGAGGAGGGCTATGAAGATGCTCAGAGAGCTGGTGCACCTATCCTATGAATACAGGCTGAGAAGGCTGGGCTTGCTCAGCCTGGAGAAGAGAAGCCTCTAGGGAGATCTGAAAGCAGTCTGCCAGTACCTAACGGGGGCCTACAAGAATGCTGGCAAGGGACTTTTTACAAGGTCATGTAGTGAAAGGACAAGGGAGCATGGTGTTAAGCTGAAAGAGTGTAGATTTAGTCTAAATGTAGAAGTTCTTCACTATGAGGGTGGTGAGACACTAGAACAGGTTGCCCACAGAAGCTGTGGCTGCCCCATCCCTGGCAGTGTTTAAGGCCAAGTTGGACAGGCCTTTGAGCAACCTGGTCTAGTGGAAGGTGGCCCCAGCCATGGTAGGAGGGTTGGAACTAATGATCTTGAAGATCCTTTCCAACCCAAGCCGTTCTGTTTGTATGACAGTATTAGTAAAGAATGCAAGGTATTTTAAGCTTCTTTTAATGGTGATTTAACAGCTGGAAATTATAAGAAGTAGCATCATGCAATCAGGCAGCAAATGTTCGAAACATGGCAAGTTACAGGAGGGCAAATCATACATTACACTCACACAGCATAGCTGCCCTAGATGCTTCTTCCAAGTGTTTCCTTGTATCAGTTAATAAGCCCTATAAACATCAGTATAATAGAAGACAGAATAATGCAAGCAAAGATTTAAAATTTAGCTATAGCTCTTTTTTTTCTTTTCAACTGGTTTAACAGCCTCTGAAAATTCACAGCTGGCTACAGGAGACAAGCAGAAAAGGCAAGAGTAGTATTAAAACATGGCATTAGCTTTGGAACTACATTTCCTGGGCTATGTTTCTATGGAAGTCTACTTTTACTACTTCCATGAAATGACAAGAAAACCACTGCCAAAATGACATTCATTTCACCACAGCAGATCACCATTAACCTCAGTTATACGATAGAAGGAAACCTTCCACATTATTCTCACTCTCCTAATACACTTTTCTCAAAGTGGAACATTGTTTCAACCTGCTGCTTTCCTTAATCAAGGGGAGTAAAGTATCTTCACTAATTGCTGGTGGTAACTGACCAATTTTAGGAAAACTGACATTCAAAACATGGAGGTTTTGTTGGGTTCGGTTGTTTGGAGCTTTTTTTTTTTTTTTGGTAACGGAAAAAAATTTCTGTCAAAGACTACTTACCTATCAGGTACCCTTGGAGCAAAGCAAGATGTCGTAGAATGCACACAAAGAATATTTTCAGCACCAAGAGCCTTGATTTTAGCCTCCACTGCTTCAAAGTCTGTCCGTAGCTCATCGCCTTCTAATACATTTTCTATAACCACAGGCTCAAAACCTGAGCAAAAAAAAAAACCCAAGATCTGAATGTAGATCATGAAATCTGACTGACTGCGGGGTTTTAGTTCCAGTATAAGTCTGATAAATCTTCTTGCTTCTGTTGTTTTAACAAATTCTTTCAGACTTGGATTAAGAACATAGATACAGAACCTGTATTACATAGATACAGAACCTGTTGCATGCAACAGCAACAGGTTTGAAGATTGTTTTAAAAACAGATTAACTTCTTCCCTCCCAATTACAAAGAAAGTGTTTGAGTGGCATTCTTTTAAAATAACAGCACAATGAAATAGCCTTTCTGGAAAAGGATGCCATTAGATGTAGCACTGCAATAATCATCATTATGGATTGGCTTTCATCATACGCCTCTGTCTTATGCAAGTGATAAACTTCCAAATTACTTCTTAAAAGATAAAAAATTCCATGTGACCTCATTTCAAAAGTGAACTTTGTCATTTCAAAATCCAAGCTATTTCCCATGTCTTTTATATTTTTTCAGTTTCCAGTCTAAGTTTGTATTTAAGATGTACTACAGCTGAACCTTGTAAGGTTGTTTCTCAAGGACACAAGGAGAAACAGTTGAAAAAAGGAAGTTATCCCCTTCTTTTAAATACTGGAATGTTTACAGGTTTGGAACACCTGCTCAGGAAGGATGTTGAAAAAACAGACATAAGTCCATCAAACGGCTACCAAGGTGCAGTATACTGCACACAACAAGAAAGGTGTAAGAGCTAGACTTTTCAAGGCTGAAGAGGCTAAGGAGAATACCTCATAGCAGTCCCCAACAATCTAGAATGGAATTACTAAGACAAGAGAGACAAACTCTCTTTGGTATGATATAGTAAGATGCAGTAGCAACAAACTTTGGCTTCAGATGTTCAGGATAAACAGCAAGAAAAACTACTTTTCATTGAGAGAATAGCACAGCACTGGAACTGCTATCCAGAGGTTAGAGAACCTCCATTCTCAAAGATTTTCAAGATCCAGCTAAACAAATGCATGGCTGACCTAACCTACTGCTTAAAGATTTTCTTTCTTAAACAAAGAAGCCTGTCGTGGTAGTTGCTCAAATTTCTTGCTTACAAATAAATAAATCACAAAGGTTTTGTTTACAGAATAAAACACTGGAATCCATATATTCTCTTCCCCAAACAGGTGTGGCACGGGCATGGCATACCTGGACATGAAGGAACTATTACTATTACTTTCTTAAAAAGCAGACAGATATTCAGTTTACTGATGAAAGTCAAGGAGAAGGAGGTGGGGGTAAAGAGTGATTTTCAAAGTACTGTAACATGGCAGCAGCTCTGTCAATTCTTCCTTCATGGCTTAACACTATGCCTTAAAGCTGACATGTAAGGCCCAAACCCTATAGAAGAACTTAGACTAGAATGATTTACTGGCATTGTTAGCCCTAGTCTGGTTTTCATTTAGTGATGTGGAAGACAGAGATTCCATTTAATACTTAGTTGTTAGATTTCTGATACCTGCTTCTCTCTTATTTTTGGTTGACAATTCTTTTAATTAATTCTGTGATAGCTGTCTTAATTCTTCAGAAAAATCACAGATCGATTTTATTTCCTCAGAACATTCTCCATTATAAATGTAATTTCCTTAGCTTGATGTTCTAAATTAAGCATGATATTCCAACAACATTCCCACTTTTCTTACAGACACGTTCTATTCGTTCTGATCCAATTCCTTTTACACACCTCTGCACCTTATTTGGACAGAATCCAGTCTCTGCTTCCAACTGTTTAGTCATTTTTATCTAATTATTCTTTCTTGCAAAGAAAGAAAGTGTCCTAGGAAATAGGACCAGAATCTATGCCACCACCTGCAGGTTATGTGCACTGAGATGGAAAATTACAGTCTCTCTTACTTGCCCTTTCCTTGATCCCAAGCATCTGTCTGCAGAAGAGGACTGCTTCAGTGGAGGAACACACTTCAACCCTTAGTTTACTTACAGACTAGTAAATAAGGAACTCCATTTGAGAGAAATTAAAGTTTGAGCTAAGAAAGGCACCGAGCCCATGTCCTGAGTGAGCTGAATGATGCTGAAATATTAAACCCAAACAGAGCAGTTAATATTTCCCAGGTTCTGAAATAAAATAATGTGCAAATCAGACAGCTTGTCACCTTCTAATCACAGTTACTAGGACACAAAGATTTTTTGCGTAAATTTAAGAGATTTGAACCATAAGCCTTTGACTGACATAATTATCAGGACAGCAAATTAGGCATCTAAGTCTGAGAGTGATCTGGAAATTCCTTAGTATTGTATTCTCTATTGAGTACATCATACACCTCTGTATACCTACATTTTTCAAGGCATTAGGAAGGCAGCCCATACATGTGATCACATGTTAGAAATCAGGACTGTGGAAATAAAGCACTTAGAACTACTATGCGTTAAGTATTTCCTGGATCTTAGTGCAAGCATATGAATTGATACCTCTGCTAGATGAAGTTCTTTACCTGTTAAAAGAATAAGCTGTGTAATCAGTCAGCTCCTTCTTACCTGCAGTTATCATTGATTTAAAGCAAGATTTTTGGTCTATACGTGGCCAGATAATGTACTTTGCCTTTGGTCTCTTGTGCCGCAACGTTAAAAAACACAGGGTCAGACTCATGCCAGTTGCCATAGGAACCACAAAGCAACTGGTCACTGTTCGGACACCTGCACATAAAAAAGCAAGTTGGCAATTAATGTGAAGAACTCACAACATGCCCGACCAAATGAGAGATATTTTCATATTTACACCTACCAGCCAGTTTTATAATATCCATAACTAATGAATTGGTAAGTTTGTTCAAAAGGCTGGACCCTGCAGCTTTCGGCTGCACTGCAGAAATATCACCTGACCTTCCAATTCCATGGATCAACCTATAGAAAAAAAAAAAAAAAGATTGAAAACATACATCATGTTTTTTTTCACATCCCAAAGCAGCAATCCTTGCTGATTGAAAGTAATTTAATTTGATAAGCAATTGTGGAAAATGCTGTATCCAATGCAGCATCAGTATCTGCCATAATGAGTTCCACTATAACGAACAATACATATTTGTATGAAATCTTTTTAGGTGTGTTTTTGGGGGTTTGTTGTTTTTTTTTTTTTTGGTTTTTATTAACAGTAGATTAACACTGTTCCAATATGCAGGTAAAAACTTTAAGAAGACCCATAGCAGCAACACCTTTAGCATCTGGCAGGCTTCCTTTTAAGTGCACCTCAGCACTTCTTCGATATCTGCTGAACAAGCATTATAAATGCTGACATGTTCAGACACACAACTCCAAAGAAAACAAAAATCAGTTGCCTCTAATGTAGCATACCATAGGCATAGTGGTATTATACAGATACTCCCCTGACAAATGCTTCATCTCCACAGGGCAAAGAAATAACATATGCTGTGACAAAATGTCCTGAAAGACACTTAGGTTAATGTATCACTTTGCCCATCTTCTTCTCCACCTTCAACTTCCTCTATTTCATTCTGCTATTCAATATGATATACCATGCAATACCACCTCTCTCTCTGCAGTCTGTTTATAAATTATGTTTATAAACTCTATTTAGAAATGCTGGATATTATTTAGCGCCTTCCAGAATGGAGGATCCTGAAACTGCTTATAAAATCTAAGCTTACAGAGCTAACTTTACCTATGGCTAAAACAGAGCATCTGCTCAAGAAAGCTAGTAACAATACATATCTATTTATTGCTTTAATTCTGTTTTTGTCTTGAGAATAGACTAAAATGCAGCATGATGAGTGTATGGAACTTACAGCTTGGAGCATAGTTTTAAAGATTAGCCTTTTTTTTTCCCCCATTTCAAGCTATAGGTTGAAATCAATAGCTTGATAATTAACTTGTTCATAATCCTCACTCCATCAAAAATATTTTCTTTTTTTCATTCCTGCTGTTTTGTTCTTAAGAGCTTTCTCATACTATCACTTTTTCTTTCCTGCACATGCATAATCTCTCATAGAAAGCAATCCTCCCTAACACTAGCACTTAGAATTTATTAAGCTGAAAAGAAAGCCTGAGACCCACCTCCTCCTACCTCCATCACTTTCAAAATTACCTGTAAAACTTATTGCAGAAATAAGTGGAGGGGAGGATGGCTCTATGCCCTTCCTTGGGTAAAAGCTTACTAAAATGTCTGGTCTCTAATATGCTTTTGTGTCAATCTTTCAAGAAGAAACATTGCAGGAAATTTCACTTTGTTTCATTCCTGTTAGATAAAACACCACTGCAAGGAACTCAGCACACTCTACATACACACACAAAAAGTATATTAAACTAAGGCAGAGCCTCTAGAATTCCAGCACCTTACCCATCAAGTGTCAGAAGGGCTACAAGCTATTAAAAGTATTTCTTGTCTTTATAGATCTCCTTACTTCATATAAAATCTATTATAGATTGGACTGCGTTTTCGTGTGCATTATCAGCTAATCATATTATAAAGACATTAATAAATAAACCAAATACAAATAGCTGTTCACTAGGAACGTCTGATACTTTACATCTACAGTGAACAGTAGTTTTGGATAATATGCAGATGAAATGCTGCACAGCATTAATAAACAGCAAGTAACACATAGATTGCTTTAAAACAGGAAGATCTCTGCTTTCCTATGCGCAGTCAAGTCAATGTCTTAAACTTCCACCAGTGCAGCATACAGGACATAACCCTGACAAAACATTTTCATTTTATTCAAGACTTCCCAGTGAGTTATTAATGAAAATTTAATACAGAAAGTTGTACCAATTCAGTATTGCATTAAACTGTTTTTCTAAAATGCTACCAAAGTCTCAGATAACAAAACACAATAAAATATGCCATTTGAAAGCATTAAGAATAAATCTGAATAATTCAAACTGACACTAACTTGTACCTGTAATGCCTTCGGGCAACGAGTCCTGATGCCACTCTTCCTTCCCTCTCACCCACACCACAGTTGCCCAGGAAGTTATTGCTGTCCATTATAGCAAGTTCATGAAGAAACAGTTCAATAGTGCTTTCATCCCATCCATCTTCAGGGCATTTTCCCTTAATAACAACAACCAACATACAGGTAACTTGGAAACACAGAAATTAAACATGAACAAAACATTATGCAACTTGTTTGATTAACATTACCCTTCTTTCCCACGCTGAACAGCAGTTTCTGTTTTTGTTACGCTGTTTTGTATTATCTAATGTTACAAACCTGTATTCAAAGAAAAGTTAGTAATGATTTTTCCATATATTATGTGCAATTACACTAGCATATCCTGATATTTAAAACAGTCTGGATATTTTTCACTTTCAAGTGTTCTTTAAGGTACACATAAAACCACTGCAGCACTTACATGTTAATCAGTCCCTAGAAGACTATACATTATTTGATGTATTCTCGAGACAAGAATCTACTACTACAGGAATTCAACAGAGAAATCTGGATGAAAGGGAGATAACTGGGTATTACAGAACCAAAAGTATTAATTATGGGCAGATGGGAAATACAGTTTAACTTCCAACACATCTTCCTATCTGCATATTTTCTTTCTAGTTACAGAATCATAGAAGTGTTTGGGTTGGAAGGGACCTTGATGATCATCCAGCTCCAACTCCCCTGCCTCCTTCCACTAGACCAGGTTGCTCAAAGCCCTGTCCAACTTGGCCTTGAACACTTCCAGGGCAGCCACAGCTTCTCTGGGCAACCTGTTCAGTGTCTTGCCACCCTCACAGCGAAGAACTTCTTCCTAATGTCTAATCTAAATTTCTATTTCAATTTAACACCATTCCTCCTTGAATTGTCGCTACACGCTCTTGTAAAAAGTCCCTCTCCAGATTTCTTGTAGGCCTCTTTTAGGCACTGGAAGCTGCTCTAAGGTCTTCCTGGCTCCTTCTCCAGGCTGAACAAACCCTTATCATCTCATATGCAAGGAAAGCACTTAATGTAACACATCAAAACCTGCAACCAGACACACGCTCTTTACTGTGTTAAGAACTGCACTCTCGTCTTCGCAAACTGCAGAAAAGACTGTCAGAGAAGTTACCCATATACCCCTGACACACTACTATAGCGGTTTGATAGTTCACAGGCTTTTTTTACATGCTCTAATAATGCTAATATGAATTCAGTAAAACTTCCCAGTTTCTAAAGTGTGTTTTAAAGTTAAGTGTGATGCAGTGGATGATGTGACTGATTGTTCAAGAACTTAAAAATTTGAGAATTCACTGATTATTTCTAAACATTGGAGACCAAAAATTAGGCTGCTTCGGCACAAGTATCATTTTGCATCTCATGTATCAGTATGTTTGTATCTTACTGTTTTAAAAACCGTTTGTAGCTCTTTGCCTTTCTCTCACGCACACCCAGAGACAGCATTTTTTGTCCCAGTCGCGGACTTTCACCCGGGGGCTCCGCCAGCTCTCTGCCACCAAATACAGGGCGCCCAGCTCTCTCCCGAGCCTCCTCGCCTGGGCCGTGTCCCTGCCCACCGGCACGGCCGGTCAGAGGTCGGCAACACCGGCGTGGGGGCCGCAGAGACAGAACGGCCCAGCGTGGGCTCGCTGGGCCCGGCACACCTCCGAGTTCGCAGGCCTGTGCCGGCCGCTCCCGCCATGCCCGAACCGGGCGGAGAAGAGGCTGGATCAGCTCCCCGCGGAGCCTCGTGCCAGCCTGGTGCTGATGTCCCTGCCCCAGCGCCCTGCAGCCCGATGCGCGGCGGCCCCACCCTGTTACCTGCTCCAGCAGGGCCCGCAGGCACAGCTCATGCGCACGGCGGCCCTGCGCCCCCTGGCGCACATAGCCCGCCGTCACCAGCCGCTCGCTGACACCGAAGTTCTCCGTGTTCATGGCTGAGGGAGGGAGGGGCGGGCGGCAGCGCGGCTCCCGGCGGCACCGGCCTCTGCCGCCTCTCCCGCTCAGCGCCGGCGCGACGCGGCGCTGTCTGCAAGGCTGTCGGTAGCTCAGTTCCCGCCGGATGAGGGCCGTTGGCGTTCGCGCATGCGCGGCCGAGAAGGGCAAGGAGCGCCCCCCCCGCCGCACTGGGAGCCGTTCTCTGCTGGGGCCGTCTCTGCCCAGCGCGGTCAACAGCAGCCTCGGCCGCTAGGTGGAGCACCGGGCCGTCCCCGCTGCAGGAGAAGGGGTTAGGGGTTAGGGGCTAGGGCTGCGGGGGCACGCGGTGGCATTTGCCAGGAGCCGTGGCTGGGCGCCTCCGTTTTCAGCTTTTGGAGCTGGTTCTCCACAGGCAGCGCGGGCTCCTGTATCCGTGAGGGGACAGGAGTGAGGACAGCCACCAGAAACCGGAGTGCTTGGTTGTGAAGAGCCTGCTCGTGGGTTGGTTTTCTCTCCACCCTCCTGCAAAGTTTAGTATTACGCTGGTGAGGACAGCCACATTCGTCCCCTGAAGGTTCGTGTCAGGGTAGGAGCCTTTTCTGCTCCTCACAACGTTTCTGGCAGCAAAGGTGGTTTTGTGGGATTGTCCTTGTCAAGGAATGGCAACCTGCAGCCGAGCCTGACTGCCAGGACTGAAAACTGCATTACAGGAAGAAAAGCAGGGTACTGTGGGAGAACTAATTTGCTTACTTTTTTTTAGGCCCATTTCTCCCCCGTGTCTAGGAAAAGACACACCATGAGGACATCAGGGACAGGCATTGTACATTTATAAGGAATCCCCAGTGAAGCCTCATCAGGTAGAAGCTTACCTGGGGCGCTGGAGTGATTTCCTCCGCTGCCCTTTGCACTCCGGCAGCAGTGGGGGCTAGCAGGTTACCGTTTGCCCGCTTAAAATAACCAGCAGTAAGCTTGTAAAGCGGTGCGTTAAGTACACAGTATGCTTGTGCCAATTGCTTGGTTTCAACCAGCCTGCACCTGGTCAACTGAATTTGTTTATGAAGGCTTATCTGATTCTTCTGTTTTACAGTTTCAAGCTCAGGTGGCTAATTAACATGAGAAAAGTACATAGTGATGGTCCTGCTTTTGTAAATTTAATTAGCCTGATTAGGATCTTTCAGGCATTCTGACAGAGTAATCTTACACACCTGTTAGAACTGTTGGTTCAGATTATAATTAACACGGTTTCTTAGTCCTTCTGAATGGAGAGCAGTTTTTCAAGTTCAATTCTTGTTCTTAGTCCCCGTAGTCACGCTGCATCTGGATTATTAGGACGTGCTGTGTTGCTGTGCCTTTAGAAATAGAGCTATTCAATTTGTTCTTTAACTATCACAAGAGGGCGCTCACCTAAAGCTGAAAGTGAGGGTGTTTTGGGGTTTTGTCTTTTCGCGTTTTCCCACTCCAGTTTCGACATTACACATTATAATCAGATGACGAAGTATGCCGTGTGGATTAGCAAAATAGAGACAGATGTGTTATCATGAGGAAAACGATTTAACTTATTTGCATGATTTAATTGTAAGTAATTTTAATCCAGGTGGCTAATTGAGAGTATTAGCTACTCTGAATTACAGTTGATAGTTTGTTAATAACTGTGATGGTGATGTGTACTGTGTTTAATTATGAGTCGTCGTAGTGTTTGAACTCTGCACTCCTGAAGACTGAGGCAGCATTAAGAATTTGTTAGATCAAGACCTGTGAGCCTGTTACAGAATTTTCATTGCAGTAGGTGAAAACTAAGTTGACTGTGTTTAGAGACGCACTAGCATGTGTAGATGAATCCCTAAACCAGAAGAAATAACTAATGAGTTATCTCTTGCTTAGCTTTTTCAAAAGAAAGAGCTTTCAGACTTTTCAGAAACCCATGGGTGGTTTCCAAACCCATGGACAGAACGTTACTGAAACAGCCACTACTCACTGGTAACTAATGTAGCTAAAGGGAGATGCATCCTTCCTTCATGCTCTGCTGGGAAGAACGTCAGGCTTCTCCTTAGTCTGATCTTTTTGTTCGCTTCACGCAGAAATTAGTATCCACATAATATTCTGTACAGAAAAATTACATCCAGTTTCTATAACCTTCGCACACTTCACACTAGGCATTAAATGACTGTTCATCTGGAGTCACAGCTGCCTGGATATGTTTGCTTTTAATAGAAACAAATGAAAACTGATTTGGAGAAATCTCCAGGAGCTCGCCAACAAAGTTTTAAGTTGACAAGCAGGTATTCTTTATTGAGGCACCGGCAGACACAGGGGATAGCTCCTCCAAGTGTGTCTCTCCCAAGCATCAACCAGGCTGTGATTATATTGTCCTAAAACATATATTCATTAGATTATATACATTACAACATACGTCTTAGAGAATGCCTCCTGTATGCATACAAAAACGTGGTAGTGGGCTTTCGGACCCCTGGTAGCTATTTCTTCATCACTTTGTTTTAGGATCATTGTCATATCAGTCATATCAGTAACCACCAGGTGGTTCTGGCAAAGCTTTAGTAATTTCCTTTTCTCTATAGTTGCTAACAAAGCCTAATGTTCTTGAGGTTACTTATTTACAACCCTATTCTTCAATCAGCCCCATTCTTCAGTCCCCCCTTTTCTTGTCCTATTGCAAATTATTTTGCAACTGAGTTATTTCATTTTTATTTAAACTTTCCTGAAGTATTTCCCTGTTTCTACTTCATGCTTATTTTTATTTCTCTTCCATTCGTCATAGTTCATCATGGTTTGTTTGCAACACCAAAAGGAGCATTGGACCGTTATACATGTAATCACAACCATTCCTAAAATACAGTAAAAACCAACTGTCTCAACTAGGAGAGATTGGGTACCCATGATATTAATTTTTCCCAAATTTCCTCAAATCCCCATGAGGTGTTGTCCTGCGCCACCTCATGAAATATTTTGTTTCCACATTTCCTTTAGATCAGTAGTAATTCTTCCACTTTGATCTGTATAGGAACAACAGCTATCATTGATTACAGAATAAACTCCTCCTTGGGATGCTAACAGTGTATCTAATGCCATTCAATTTTAGAGATGGAATAAGCCATCTAACAAAGCTATGGAAAGAAATGTTTCATTCTGGTATAGGATTATATCCTCTTTTGATTCTTTTACTAAAACTCCAAACCCAGGTTCCAGAGGGATCAATGTCAATTACTGTAAAGTTGGGAACCACTACTCCTAGTGTACATGTCGCTTTCCAGTTAGGAGGCAAAGCCTGATAGCCATTTTCTCCACATAACCAATACCCCCCTTTCCCTTCAGGAACATTCCAATAACCAGTTAAAGGTTTTCGAAGGTGAAGTTGCATTGCCCAGCTGCAATATGGGTAATTTCCTACTGACATGTTGCCTTGATTAAGGGTTTTGTTAGTGGTTACACATTTAACTTCTGACATATTTAAGGGTTGTATCATTAAAACCTGTAAATTTATATGGCTTATGTCGGTATAAACAGGATCTCTCCATAATCTATTCCAATTTGTCTTAAAGGGGACAGGGAGGCCAATTAAAGGAATACCCAGTCTCTCTCCTGATTTAGGTAGCTGAGTACAGATCCAACAATCACTCTTGTTTAAAACATTAGTAACATTTTGTATCAATCTCAGAGATAGATTTTGATTCCATGCTTACACCTATTATTATACAAGTCCAAATTATGAATGATGTAGTCTTATATGTGTGGGTCCTGAAGATTCGATGCACCATACTTTCTCTCGGTTCTGATGTGTTTCTGGTTCTGGCGCCACCTTGATTATTGAGTAATGTATCCAAGCAGGCTGTTCTTTATCTGCAGTGCTGTAAAGGTAGTCAGTAATATCTGGTATAGTCCACTCCACTTCTCCTGTAGAGGATCTCCTGAAAAATTCCTAACATAAACCCAGTCTCTGGATCTGAAAGGGTGAATCGGATAATCCAAACCTCTTGCTCTTGTCACTAATATTCTCTTATTTATTTCTTCTAATTGTTTTCCCAGATTGATCAGAAACAGAGATAGCCTTCTCCCACTTCCTGAAGACTTTCTCCTTTAAACTAGGACTGATATGGTCTTCCATATAAAATTTTCCATGGGCCAGCCTCTTCTTTCGACTGAGGTTTACTTTGAATTCTTAATAGAGCCAGTGGTAAGGCTTGGTACCAATATAACCTGACATATTTTATTAATCTGTTGTTTGATCAGATGGTTAATCTTTTCTACTTGCCCACTGGCCTGAAGCCTGTATGGAACATGTAGTTGCCAATCAATTTCTAATTTTTTTCTGATTTCTTGTAACAATTTTGCACTAAAATGTGGGCCTTGGTCAGAAGAAATTGCCGCTGGTACTCCAAAACAAGGTATTATATCCTTTAATAATGTTTTAATTACTTGTCTTGCATTATTTATTCTACAAAGGAATGTTTCTGGCCACCCTGAGAAAGTATCCGTTAACACCAACAAATATTGATAACCTCCTTTTCTCGGTAATTCAGAAAAATCTGTTTGCCACTGCTGTCCTGGATAACTTCCTCCCCCAGTTGTACAAATTTGGTTTCTATTTTCAATTTTAGGATTATTCTTGAGACAGAGCTGACATTGTCACTAATTGAACTATAGTATATAGATTCCTTCCAACAATTTGTTTCTCTAAGTATTTATGCAAAGAGTTCCTACCCCAATGAGTTTTATTATGTTCCTCCTGAACTAGCTTCCAGAGTTGATTATAGGGAATTACAATTTGCCCATCAGGTGTCTGAACCCAACCTTCCTTGTTTTCCTGTCCTTTGAGATCTTCAATCAATTTTCTATCCTCCTTTTAATATCTAGGTTTAGATTTCTCATTTGTTAGTTTGCCATCAGGGATTAAGGGAATGATTTTAGATTGTTCAGCTTCTTGTTTGGCTTCAAAATCAGCAAAATTATTTCCAATTTCCTGATGAGAGTCACCTTGTTGATGCCCTTGACAGTACATAATAGCTACTTCCTCAGGTAGCTGAACAGCTTCCAGTAGTCGTAGAATTTCTGTAACATGTTTAATCTGTTTCCCCTGTGTGTTCAGAAGTCCTTGTTCTTTCCAGATGGCACCATGTGCATGGATCACACCAAACGTGTATTTAGAATAAGTCCAAATATTTATCCTTTTGTCTTTAGCCAATTCCAGGGCTCTCATTCAGCATGTTCCAGAGGTTTTTCTTTCAAGTCTGGTGGGCTTGAATACACAGTCTCAGAACACCATAATCATGCATCCAAAGTCTGCATCATCCAGTCATTCCCAGGAACATCTGGAGCTCCTTGATGGTCGACGGTCATGGAGTTTGACAAATAGCTCCTTTTCTAGCAGTTCCAAGTTCTCTCTGTCCTGTTATTTCATATCCTAGGTAGGAAACTCGGGTTTGAATTAGTTTGGCCTTTTGTTTGGATACCTGATAACCATTCAGTCCCAGAAAATTCAATAATCCCACCATTCACTGGACACGTTCTTCCTTTGTTTCTCTGGCAATTAATAGGTCATCCACATATTGTAACAGAGTCCCCATCTGAGTGGGTGGTTCCCATAATTCTAGTTCCAGTGCTAACTGATTTCCAAAAATTGTTGGACTGTTTTTAAACCCTTGAGGTAATACTGTCCAAGTTAATTGGGTTTTCCTTCCTATGTCAGGATTTTCCCATTCAAAAGCAGATAAATTCTGGTTTTCATTGGCCAATGGTAAGCAAGAGTTCCTTTAAATCCAAGACGGCAAACCATTTCTGATTATTATTCAATTTAGTCAATAAGGGATACGGATTAGCTACTACTGGATGAATATCTTCTGCAAATTTGTTGATTGTTCTGAGATCTTGAACCAATCTGCAACTTTATTTCTTTACTATCAAAATAGGAGTATTCCAATTCACATTCAATTAATAAAATATATTTTAAAATTTACCAGTGATTTCTTTGATTCCCTTTGATCTTCTAATTTTAAGGGATATTGTTTTATTCTAATTGGGCAGGGCCCCCCTTTTATTTCTACTTCAACAGGCAAAGCATTTTTCACCTTACCTGGAACTTCAGATGCCCATACTCCCTGATAAACCTGATTAAGGATTTCTTCTATTTCAGGGAGGTCCTCCTGTTCGCTTTTCTGTTGAATTAAAGATAAACTCAAAACTGCAATTAATCGATTGTTTTTAACTCTTAATTCCATTTTGCCTTCTTTAAATTTTGCTTCTTGCCCTAATAAAGATTTTAGAGAATTTGGCATGTATAAAATTTATGCATTCCTATTTGTTTTCCCAATTTGTACTTTAAAGGTTTCAGAAAGAATGCCTCTTCCCCGCCCCCCCCCCCTTTTTTTCTTGGTGGCCAGTAGCTCCCACATCTGTAACAACTTATTTTCCCTCTGATTTAACACCTAATAAGTTGCTCCTGTATCCACTAAAATTCCACTTTTTTTCCTATAGTCCTTAGCTTTAATTTAGCCAGTGGATCTGCTGGGGTAGATGCCCCAGGCACCCGTCAGTCTAGTTCCAATTCAGTCCCTGGAGCCACCCCATGGCACTCCCACTCCCAGGGCAGTCTCACTTCCAATGTCCAAACTCCCCACTGCACGCACACCTATCCAGTCCCACAGGAGAAGAACCAACTCCCCCACCTCCGCCCGACATCCCGCCAACTCTGCTTCCCCAGCACTCATCACACACAACAAACATAGGAGCTGCCCAAGCTCCCCTCCTTTCCCCCTTGGTTTTCCTTAACTTTAAACATCTTTCCCTAGTATCACAGTCTGAACAACATCTCTTCAGCTTAGCTTTCGTTTTTTCCCTGTCCTTTTCCAAAGCCAAAATTAAGGGATCTGGTGGAGCTGTATCAATTTTGCAATCCGTGTGTCACTCCGAGTGGTTTCTTAAAGTGAAAAACATATCTGCATACATTATTTCATTCCGTTTTCCTTGCCACCTCAAAAAAACCACATTAATTGTAACAACGTATCATGGTTCAAATTCCATTTTTAGGCCATTTTTCCTGACCTTCCAAAGTATACAAAGGCCACCATTGGTTACAATATTTTATCAACGTTTTCTCATTTACCAAGCCCCCAGGAAACCCTCCCAGTTCTTTCCAGTGTGCCAAAATGCACTAAAGGACTGTTTTTCAAGATCTCTCCACTCTGCCAATTTCCCATTATCAGTCTTGCATTCACACACACACACAGAGGATCCCACAGGCGCACTCCACACAGTTACAACACTTGAGACAGACTAAAATTGTATCAAATGAATAACAATTAACAGTTATAACAGTCTGTCACCAATACCAAAATCACAAGACCAAAATCGTCACTATAACAAGCCACAAAATACATACCCACACAGTTACCACACTTGAAACAGAGACAACAATTAATAACGCAGTTAGTATGTCACCAATACCAAAATCACAGGACCAAAATCATAACTATAACAAGCCACAACATAAGTCAAATATCAGTAAAATCCAAAACCTTTTCTACAAGACACCCCCTGTGTCTTATAGGACCCAGACCACAAGATGCCCCCTGATTCTTGTGGGTGTATACCAAAACAAGTAAAATCCAAACCCTTTTTTTTCTACAAGACGCCCACTGCATCTTTTAGAACCCAAAGCACAAGATGCCCCCTGCTTCTTGTGGGTGTATACCAAATGGATGCTAGCAGCTGGGTATACGCCTTTGTCCACGAGATTTCCTATCTCAATTTACAGAAGGCTTCCAAATCTTGCATACACTTACCAAAACAATTTACCAAACCAAGATGCCCCCTGCATCTTACAGACTATATAAAAGAAAAGAATACCTTTTATGAAGATGGTCCTTGTCTGCTCCCCCAGTGATCCGAATGAGTCAAGGAGTCCCTCTGGGAAAAACTCCCGAGGGCCCTAGGGATCCCTGTCCTCAGAGGGTCCTGCAGCCAAGCAGAGAGTGTCCCATCTGGGGTGCCAGATTGATTCGGAGAAATCTCCAGGAACTAGGCAAGAAAGTTTTAAGTTGACAAGCAGGTATTCTGTCTATTCTGCTGTGCCTGCAGAGACGGGGGATAGCTCCTCCAAGCGTGTCTCTCCCAAGCATCAACCAGGCTGTGATTATATTGTCCTGAAACATACATGTTCATTAGATTACATACGTTACATCATACTTCTTAGAGAATGCCTCCTCTATGCATACAAAAATGTGGTAGTGGGCTTTTGGACCCCTGGTAGTTATTTCTTCATCACTTTGTTTTAGGATCATTGTCATATCAGTCATATCAGTAACCACTAGGTGGTTCTGGCAAAGCTTATTTTAGTAATTTCCTTTTCTCTATAGTTGCTAACAAAGCCTAATGTTCTTGAGGCTACTTATTTACAATCCTATTCTTCAATCAACACCATTCTTCAAAACAGAAATGGGAGTGTGAACAGATTTTATCAAATGCTACAGATATTTATAGTTACATAAATAAATGACACTCAACTTAGTTCCAAAGTCCACTGGCTGACAGGTAACCCAAGACAAAAACAAACACAAGCTTCAGTAAGGCTTTATTTTATCAGTAACCAAGTAAAGCAATTTTCCTCCTGTGATACAAGTTATGTACAGAATGAATCCTTATATTATGAATAATTATGAGAATAATGAATAATAAATATATGCAATTACTATTTTAGCTGGGAACTTATTTGTTCCTAGTATAATCCAGAATCCCAATTCTACGCAAGTGCTTCATGCGTGTCTCTCCCATATTTCACCAGAATCTCCGAGTACCGCACTAAGGAAACACCCTCTCCTGTAGAGAGAGGTGGGAAGAAGGCATCCCTGCCAAAGTCTGGTGCAGTGTGTTGGGGTTGTAGTTGTATTCTCTTTCTTCCCGTTAAAAACGAAAGGATGGTTGTGGGAACATGGGACATAATGGCAATATGTTCGTGTTGGTTTTACTTATGTCGGTTCATTGTGGGAATTACCGTGATAGTGTAGAACAATGCCCTTTAAAGCACAGGAAGGGATTGCAGCTGGCTGGTGGAAGTGGTGGCCAGGGGATAATCATGTTTCGGCTGCAGAAGTAACCCAGGCTTCGCGGGGAGGGGGGGGTGTGTGTGGGGACAGTTCTGTTAAATGACTAGCAGTGACAACAGTGGTCCCGGAGGACCACTGAGCAGATCTCTTAGGCTGCCTTCAGCTATTCGCGGACTGCTACAACTGGTGCAGCCGGCCGGGACCGGCAACGGGACCTTCACGGCACAAGCTCCCAGTTCCCCGGTAGGCGGGAATTCGTTGCAAGCTGACGAGCCCCGCAGTTAGCCTGGAGGAGGCTCTCGAACCCTCTCTGGCCCCACAGCATCACGCTGTAAAGCGCTGCTCGCACACAACAGCTCGTGCAGACGGCCCTGCGGCGCTGGAACGCCCTGCATGCGCGCTCGGGGCCGCAGCCCCTTTAAGGCAGGTAGCGGCGCCAGGGGCGGGCAGTCGGTGTGCACGCATGCGCAGGGCTCCGATGGGAGCCGTGGAGCCAGTTGTGGCGGCTGGGTGCGCCATGGGCTGTGGCCGGGGGGCCTGAGCCGGCCCGGTGGCACCTCCCACAGCACTCGGCCCATGGCGGAGCTGGGTGCCGGAGAGCCCGATGAGCGGCTGTTGCTCCTCGCGGAGCCGGCGCCTCAGGCAGGGCCACCCTGGCGGGGGCCGCACGTGGCAAAAGCTGCCCCCGGCGCGGCTGTGAGGCTGTATGCGGAGCTCGGGCTCGAGGAGGACGGTGAGGAGGACTCGGGGCCCGAGGGCGATGGAGAGGACGAGCCTCTGCTGCGGGCGCCGGGCGCTGGCCGCGGCCGTCGAGCGGGTGCCGCCTGGGATAAGGAGTCCCGCGCCGCCGCAGGTACGGCCCAGGGCCGCCGCCGCACCGTCGGGCCGGGCTGAACGCGGGGAGAGCTGCAGAGGTGCACCGGTGGGAGAGAGCCTGTGCGCTGTCCTGCTGGCCAGGCTGGGGAGCTACCTGTAGGACTAAAGTACGCCTGAAGTGCCGCACCCGGTGTCTGCTTGAGGTGTCCCTTCCTCACAGGAAGCTTGTTGGCAGCTTTTCTGTGCAGCCCAGAGGCTCAGTGAGGTGCGGGGTACCTTGCTCAGCTCACGGGATCGCAGACTAACAGCCTTCGAAGGGAAAGAATCCTGTGAATAGCTCGAAATTCTAATGTTTTATGAGCAGGGCTGCACGAATTCATTTGCATCTTCATGAGTGGCTCCACTGTTACTCTCCGTGTTCGCTGTCTTCTGTTTCGTTGGGTTTTACTTTGTTTCTGTCACGGTTTTTGAATCTTATGGCTTTGCATGTTTTACAGACTGTTCTGTGGTGGCTCCAGCTATTGCTTTCTGAACGCTTGGCAAACTCTGCCAGGTTTTCTGTTTGTCTCAACTGTCCTAGCAATTACTTGTTTGTGACCCGCATCTTCTTATCCTGTGAAAAAATTTTACTTTGCTTTAATTCTTGCTCCAGCCGTTTTTTTTCACATGTATTAAGAGTTTTACATGTGGACTCTTCTGTCATATTTTTGGTGTTCATAAACAAAGATTTGCTTTCTATGTTTTGAAATCCAGACTTAAGAGAAAAATGTTATTTGAAAAATCAGAAATGCAAAAATTCAGTTATCAATTTGAAAAGAAGCGCAAGTGTGGCAACTATCTGATTCTAAATATAAACTATATAGTATTCATTATAAACTGTTATAACTGTATAACTAGATACACATATGATAAACTATGCAATATTTATTGCTTACTTTTTTTCTTTAGACTTACAAGCTTTCTGATCCTGTGCAGCTTTGTAAATAGATGTTCATCTGGGAAAGGTTTGATGATGGAAATCTATGGACTTCTATCACATAATAGTGTTTGCTGTTGAAATTATACCATAGGATTTCTTGTCAGAGACTGGTAAAAATCATTCCTTTTGCAATAATAATAAAAAAAAAAAACAAACCAAAAAATCTGAACAAAACACCCATCAATTTGAGCAACAAAAGCTATGTTAGTAACTTTTTTCTGTAGCCACAGGAAGCTTTTGCTAATGTACTGTGATTAACCATAAGAAAAAACCCAGTGTTTCCAAGCGTAGACCAGACTTGTAATGCAAACATGCCGTTATAATGTTGGAGTTCTCTTGTCTTGTTCCCACAAGGTGCAAGATGTGTTAATGAGACAGTGCTACTGGTAAAACAGTAGTTAATGCTTCGGGGTGGAGACTAAAGGCCTGGGTCTGCTCCATTGGGGCAGTGAGAGTAGTGAACACAGAATTACACTTGGGATCTGCCCCAGGAGTGTGTAAGAAAATCTCAGAACTGTGATTGATTGCAGCATCTCATCTTGCTCTTGTTTCCTTGCCCTTACCTTTTTCTGTGTGTCTAGCACTTGAAGGATTGTTTCATATGTCAGGTGGAACAAACCCTGTCACATTCAGCTAATACTAGCTTCAATGAAAATGGCTCATTTTCCTCTGGCTAGTGTTGATAAACTGAAAGGAAACTTTTTAAAACTGCTAGTTTCCTTGTTTTCAGCCTGTGTTGTACAGCCACGTCACTAGCAAGAGATGGCTTTCTAGCAGCACAGTAGCAATACTGAAATAAGTTTCCCAAATTATTTTTCTCTCCCTTGAGCATACAGCATAATGTGGTTTGTTTGATTTGATTTTTAATGGAATATGTTTTTCTTGCAGTTATCTCTTACATTAGAAAAGACACAGCTGAATAATTTCCTCAAGGCAGTGAGACTTCTTATGGGTTTAGATTATTGAATGAATGCCTAGAAATTAAAACCTGACCTCTCGGTTGTCTTCTGCATGGACAGCTTCAGTTCCTGTGATAGGAAGTTCACTTGTAGATCCTCTTCATCTGGAAGATTAATATGCAGAGCAACTTAATATGGGTGTTGCATTTTGTTTGGTAACAATATAATGCATAACTCTGATTTTGCTTTCACTGACAAAAATATGTAACAGTTGCAGCTCAGCTGTGTGGTGCGATGTTTCTTCTGTAGAGGTAGTTGAGGTTTTGTTATGGAATAAGAACCACTGATTCGAGAGGCAAAAGTCCATAAAAACAAGGGTTACTGTGGGTTGAGTTTTGTTTGTTTGTTGTTTTGCTTTGGTTTTCTTTCTTACTTTATTTCACTAACTCACTTAAGTACTGTCAGGGAAGTCTTAGAACCCTTTCCCTCTTACTCTATGAAATGCAATTTACTGATTCTCCCTGATAGTCCCAGTAAAAGACTTAAAATTAAACTGTACCTTATTGCAGAAGTATTGGTGAAGTAGTCTAACAGATTCTGATCGAGTGGGCTGTGGTCTTTACAAATGACCAGTTTAGCAGGCAAGGCTGTGAGCTTTTCAGTGTGTGTACTTAGGCTGTTTCTTCAGAGTACAAATTACGTTTAAGATTACTTGTTGTTTTTTTTATTTTTCAGGGCATACAGGACATACTGCTGATATGAATATATTTTTGGATGATCCAGAATTTGCAGAGATTATTCTGAGAGCAGAACAAGCTATAGAGTGTGGAGTTTTTCCAGAACGAATCTCTCAAGGTTCCAGTGGGAGTTACTTTGCCAAGGATCCAAAAGGGGTGAGCATGTTATTGCAAAGTCAGAGACTCTATCAGCAGTGAGTTTAAAATGGAAATTTTAAAGTTTTATTTAAATGGAAATTCATTTAAATAAGTTGTTTAATAATTTATGGTATGCCAAAATCTGTGTTGTGAAAAATCCATGCAATACGTAAATTTCTAATTATGGCTTGCAGCATAAGCTAAGCCAAAAATGCAAGAGTTATTTCTCTGTTGCAGTTTACCATGTTTTGAATTATCTGCACCAAAGGAATATGGAAAAAATAAAAGGGCCTCTTTAACATCTGAAAACAATTCAGGAATTCCCTTCTGCAGAATGTAACATTTTGTACCTTCTGTGTTTAATTGATTTTTCACCCAGCAGAGCTTCTGATCTGGATACTGTTCAGCTTTCTTTAGCCAAGCCTCCTGTATTTTTAGCTCTCTTCTTGTTTTGATAGTCTTTTATTTAGGTCGTGTCTTCTGCCTCTGATATAATTGGTTGACAGGCAAGAAGAGTGATATAAACAAATCTACCTTTGTATTTGTCTGCTGAATCATAACTAGAAGATTTGTTTTCCCCTCCTTTAGTGGTAAATGCTACCTTGAATTGTGATCATCAAAGAAATAACCCTAAGGTTACCCTGAGACAGAGAAGAAGCAGTTACCTGAATATCTTGCTTGGAAAGTAACATTTGGTTAGCATTGTTTAGTTAAAAACATACCTGCACATTGTTTTCTTTAAATTAGAAGTACTTTGTCTGCTTAGCAACCTATTCCAGAAGACTCCAAACCTCCACACCTTTGTTAATTTGTCATACCTGATATTTAAGGTCAGTCAGCAGTCTTCTGGTCTTAGGTAGTTGTAGGTGTTTGTTAATCCTGAAGACCCCAGTTATATTTGACATAGAGGTCATAACACTTAAAGTGCCTAGGTTTTTGGAACATATTCAAGACTATTGTTCCTCCCGACATCCCCAAAACGGTAATTTCCCATTTGTTTAGCAAGTGTTACCGGGTTTGTTTAGCTTTTATTTGTATTACTGGTCATTACAGAATGTATTACTGTTTTGTCAGTTAATTTTCATGGGTGTTTATTTTGTTGTAATGCTGCTTTTCTGTTGATAGTTTTTATACTTTATTGAATGAGTGATTTTTAGAATAGCTGCCTGACTCAATACAAATAAATATATTAATTTATTAATTTATTTCTAAAATAGAAAGTGGCAGAACTATCCCTTCAGACTCTTCTAAGAGCTGCACATCACAGTTCATACTGTGGTGTTCCAGGAATATTTGTTAGTAATGACTCACTTCATTCTAGTGGAGAGCCAAAGAAGGTTGGGAAAGAAGGTGTATCTCTTTCAAACTGGTAATAGAAAATCTTCTCTGATCGCTTTTTGAGATTCTTGCTGTCACATCTAATGCTGTTAATGTGAAAACCTGTTCACAATGTCCGCAGACCTTTTAAACTTCAAGTCACTTCCCTACTCCAGTAGTTCAGTTCTCTGTGGGTTTTCAGGGTTTATGCTTGTGTATAGATATTTGAACTTTATAGTGTTTTTAAAGATGGACTTTAAATTAGGATGATATTTAATATGCAGTAGAAAAAAATCTGAGTAACAGAATACTGGTTTAAATTATCACTTTTTCAAAAATCTAAGGCATGATATGTCTAAAGAGTACAATGTTACACTCAAATGCTTTAAAACTAGGTAAGTGTTTTGGTTTGGGGGGGGGGAGTTCTTCTTAATGCTGTGCAGTCAGGGTCTCTTATTCTTAGAAAGTTAGTTACTACAAAAAAGCCTATACTTGTTCTTGGTTTCAATATGTGCAAATCTCTTTTGTCTGAAGCCTTTCCAGACTGATTTTGCAGGTTTTTTTGGTGACTGGCAAATGCCTGAGAGACTCATTTTACCCTGGGACTAATGAGCAATTACTTGCACACCATTTTTGCAACTACAGTATTTTGGATGGAGCACCTTATTTCCTTGTTTCTTGTGTGGTGTTTTTTCTGTTGGTTTTACTTGTGTTTTGTGTGAGGTGGTGTTTTTGTTCCTACTTAAGTTTCTGGTAGTGACTTGCACTCCCCCTTTATGCAGATCACTGACTTGAATTTAAGTGTTTAGGAGAAAGGAAGATTTAAACTCCTTTTTTTGTGGGTTCCAGAAAATATACCAAGGTGTTTGCCAACATGGGACTGAGAATAATGATACGGAGTTCTTAGCTGACTCTGAATTTTGCTTTTGTTCTGTGCACTAAATTTAGAGTTTATCCAAATTTGTTTTCCACATTAAAGGTCTGATAAAACCTGTTTTGTCAATAGTGCAGCTCCCATTTGTAGAATGGATTTCACATCCTGTTGGACAGAGTATTGCATCATTCTACTTCAGACCAGTTTTGTGACTTGCTGTCTCCTGAATTTCTTGCGTAAGCTCTTTCCTGGCATAAGGAGGAGGAGATTATTAAAGACATGCTAAGCAGTCTTGCTGGTCAGCTTCTGAAGTGTTTACCCACACTAATGCCAAGTTATAGGTAGAACAGCCTGCTGCTGCCAGGTCATCTTATTTGCTAATTTGGGTCTATCAGAAAGATTAAAACTGCCTAATAAAATAACTTTTTGTGCTTATTGCCATCGTTGTATACTGATATAAAGCAATTCAGTGCTTAAGCAGTACTATTGCTGAAGTGTTGAATATTTCTGCATTTTCTCTTCATTGTATAACCAGAAAAGCAAAAGACACTGTGTCTGTTACAAACTGTTCTGCAACATGTTTTCAACAGTTTAGCTATTGGCTGATTGGTAATGCTAATGGAGTCCTGCAAAGTTAAGACTGGCCTTGTCTACAAATTCAGCTTTCTAGTTCTACTCTGCTTCTCAACAGCAGTGGCGCTGCAAAATTTAGCGATGTTCTAACTTCAGTGAAAACTTAAAAGCCATATCTAGATTTGATACTATAGTACAGTACAGCCTATGCAAGAAATGTAAGCCGCTAAACTCTTTTTTAAAATGGACAGTTTGTAGGAAGTATCGAAAGAAAAGAAACAGTTAATGACTTGTCATTAATAATACAGTGATATTAAAATATAGTACTAATACACCGCGACATTTCTGGGAAATGAAAAGCTGCTGGATTTGTTCCTAGCAGTCAGTTACCTGTGATTCCAATAGGAAAAAAGTAACTTTTTAACAACTCTAAACCTAATGTGAGAATTTTGGCCTAACCAGTGCACAAAGTGAATTCAGCTTCCCAAGTGGTGTGATGTAAAAAAGAAAAAAAGTAGGGCAAAAGAACATCCTGGCTTTTTCATACTGCATAAGATATCCATTGTATTTTTTTGTGTAGGTCTGAATTGAATTGTGTATGTGCAGTTGCATAGAACTTGCTCATGATTTTGAATGTAACTTTAGAATCACAGCTAACAGCATGTCGAAAACAAGAGAATTTTGTCAATTTGTTTTTCTCCTGCTGATAGGAAATTTATTTTCTGGGATGAATGAAAGAGTAATGGTTTGTAAATGAAATAGTAATGTTTCGTAACTTACTTTTCCTGATACTTGATGGGACAAGACAGGTGATGCTACTAATGCCTGGTGTCTTGTGTAATCTCTTTACAAACTGCATGAAATAAGTTCTCTCTATTTGGTTTCTCTTGAACTATCTTGGAATAGTTGGATTGTCTTGGACGCAGTGGGTGAAAGTTCTCCAGAAGCTTGAAGGTCACCTACTTGCGTCCTCTCCCTAAACTGGCTGAATTGGCAGTTACTGAAGCAGAATGCTAGTTTCTGACTGCCAGCAAAATCGTTCATGACTTGAGTGTAAATTAGGTATGAGTGTTCGTGTGCAACAGGCAAGTTTTACCTTATTGAGATACTCTCTTTTTTGATAAGGATTCAGGAAAGTACTAATGTGTCAAAGTGCTTCTTAAATAGTTGTTCTTAGATATTTATTAGAAATCTATTTACTTGCTATGATTCTGTGAGAAGGAATGAAAAATACAGCACTTCACTTGAGCTAGAAAGAGTCATTACGTGGACTTCATGCAGTAGGCTGAAGTTTATCACGGTCAATGGAAGGTTATATATTTTATTGTGGTAACAATCTGTGTTTTGACGTTAACAAATATGGAATGACATGTCAGAAAGGCACCTTGAGAAATCATCTATTTAGTGCCTGTGATGAGGAGCAGATTGTTTTAACATGATTCCTGATGAATGTCTTGTCTTAACTAGTTGTTAGTGGCATCCTGTTTTGGAGTCTCTTGAACCTGGCAGTCTGTTCTGGTCCTGAGCAGCTAGTAAGGTTCAAAAGGATTTTTTCTTTGTAATTCATCTGCTGTGATTCAAGCCTGTAGTTTCTGGGCTCATTAACAGTAACTGCTGTTACTTTTTTTCTCTATAGCAACCAATTACGTAGTTTCTTTTGCCCCATTTTCTCTTAGGCTAAACAATCCCTGTTCATACAGTCTTTCATTATTCACTTTTTCTTGTGTTTATTCTCATTGTTTTTTGAGCTTTCTCCAGTTCATTAACAGATTTCTTGAAGCATAGCGCCCAAAATTGAACACAGTATTCTGAATACTTTTAAGCTTTTCTACATGTCTCCAATGGAAATGGTGGCTGACACTGTGAACCATTGTCAGTGCTCAGTTGAGGATTTTACAGCAGTGGTAAATGACACCACTTCTAGGAACTGCAAAATGCAGTTTTTCGTTTTGATGCATTTTGATCCATTCAAACTTAAAGCAGTAAATAAAGTAGATAGAAAAAGGGCGATGTTGGATTATTAGCGTTCTGTATGCTTAACACTTTTCTGGAACCATTATATCTCTTGTCTGAAGTATAATGGTGAGTGGAAAATGATTTTTAAAGCTACTTTTAAAACCTCCTTATTAGAAAACTTAAAATAGAAACCAAATGATTCTAAAATGCAGTCCTCATTAATTTTGAAAAGCTAGTAAATGTTAGCCGGGTTTGATTTTTCTCTTATGAATAGCTTATTTTGAATTTCTTCTAGACAAGCATTCTACAGTAAATTTATTTGGAATATCAGTTTGTTAGTTTTAGTATTTCATCATCCAAAAAGATCAGCTGTAAAATGCAATGTATAATATCTAACCAATACTTTCAAATGACTGATTTTCAAAATAAATTTAATCTTTTGCAACTCAAAGTATTCATGTTTTCATTTTATATTATTTATTGTAGAAAACTATTGGAGTGTTCAAACCAAAATCTGAAGAGCCTTATGGACATCTAAATCCAAAATGGACCAAATATTTTCACAAAGTTTGTTGTCCTTGCTGCTTCGGCAGAGGCTGCCTCGTTCCAAATCAGGGATACCTCTCTGAAGCTGGTGCCTATCTTGTGGATGACAAGCTGGGACTAGGAGTTGTACCTAAAACCAAGGTAAAAGTTAAAATACATAAATTATTAAATGAAAAATAATAGTGGCAGATTTGTCAGTCTCTGGACTGTACTTGTGGTGACATCCTTGTATATCATTATCCCCAGTTCATGTATAAACTGTTACAAATCCGAAGGCGCAGTTGTTTGTTATAGACATAGTGACTGTGATTTTTGGTTTAAAAGATAAGTTTTAGATCTGAATTGAATTTCTTACTTGGAATCACTTCAGTTTCTGTCATTTCCTGACACATTAGTTTCCTTGGCTTTTGGTGAGAGGCAAAATTGCAAAAATTGGCATATAAAGACTCCCATTTTTCTTTTGAAATAGGTGAAAAGGTGAATATTTACTACTTTACGTAAACTTTCTGTTGGAAATGTGTGATGCTTCCTTTTTGCTTTTTTGACATCCAAGCATAAATTTAATTGTAGATTTATAATTGAAATAATAAGGAATTCTGAGCCGTGTTTTTAACTTTCATATTTTAAGGTTGTCTGGCTTGTCAGCGAGACCTTTAATTACAGTGCAATAGATCGTGCAAAGTCAAGAGGAAAAAAATATGCTTTAGAGAAAGTGCCAAAAGTTGCAAAAAAATTTAATCGAATTGGACTACCTCCTAAGGTAAGATGGGAAAAATTTGTGCGTTTGCTGATTCTTATACAAACTTCAACAGTAGAAGAAGAACCTTGTTGCTTGCTGAAAACTATGTTCCAGTCTGGATGACTGAAGTTTGATAAATATGACTGTTTATATGCAGAATCTGTACACTCATCGTTCCTTCATTTGAACTTTAATAATCTTGCCACTTTTTGTTTCAATTTGTAGTCTAGCTTTCTGCTGGAGGAGTAACATGTTAATGTTGTGCGTCTCTCGCTATTTTGGCCTTTTCCTTTTCTTTTTCTTAACTGTTTCGTTCATTTCTCTTCAGTCACATTTTCTTTTGTCACATTTTCTCCCCTGTAATTTTATCTAGCTACATAATTTTTCCTAAACACTGTGTTGTTTTTTTTCTTTCTATTTGTTTTATTATTTTAGGTATCTTACTTTGCTTCTATCTTGTGTGCAGTACTCCAGTGACTAAAACCCCCCACATCTTTCTTGCCTAATGAGCCAAGGAAGCCCCAAATACCACTACAGTGGTGTTCTCCTGAACTTTGATGAGAAAATGAACATGAGCCGGCAGTGTGCGCTTGCAGCCCAGAAATCCAACCGTATCCTGGGCTGCGTCAAAAGGAGTGTGACCAGCAGGTTGAAGGAGGTGATCCTGCCCCTTTACTCTGCTCTTGTGAGACCTCACCTGGAGTATTGAGTGCAGTTCTGGTGTCCTCAACATAAAAAGGACATGGAACTGTTGGAACAAGTCCAGAGGAGGGCCACGAGAATGATCGGGGACTGGAGCACTTCCCATATGAAGATAGGCTGAGAAAGTTGGGGCTGTGCAGCCTGGAGAAGAGAAGGCTGTGTGGAGACCTCATAGCAGCCTTCCAGTATCTGAAGGGGGCCTACAGGGATGGTGGGGATGGACTCTTCATGAGGGACTGTAGTGACAGGACAAGGGGTAATGGGTTAAAACTTAAACAGGGGAAGTTTAGATTGGATATAAGGAGGAAATTCTTTCCTGTTAGGGTGGTGAGGCACTGGAATAGGTTGTCCAGGGAGGTTGTGAATGCTCCATCCCTGCCAGTGTTCAAGGCCAGATTAGACGAGGCCTTGGGTGATATGGTTTAGAGCGAGGTGAGGGGGGGGGGTGGAACTTGATGATCTTAAGGTCCTTTCCAACCCTAACTATTCTATGATTCTATGATTCTAACTTAAAAAAACGAGGTTATATACAGCTTGGGTAATTCACTGTGTCAGTTATCAGCAGTTTTGATCCATGTGACATAGGTTATGCAAGCTTGTATCAGCATGGCTATTCCACATGCTCTGTGTTTATCCATGCTCATCTATTTGCATTTTGCTTCTCAAATATAAGTCTTCATTTGGATTTTAATCTTGAGGATCTTACCTGTTGTCCACACATACAGAGCTGATGCCATCTGTAGTTTTCTCCTTGGACTCTTTTGAGAAATGTATTTCAGCCATTTTCATGCAAAACTTGTTTGTCTTGAAAAAATGGTTAATGATGCTTTTCTCATCAAGGAAACAGGAACTTTTCATAGGATCATAGAATAGTTAGGGTTGGAAAGGACCTTAAGATCATCTAGTTTCAACCCCCCTGCCATGGGCAGGGACACCTCGCACTGAGCCATGTCACCCAAGGCTCTGTCCAACCTGGCCTTGAACACTGCCAGTGATGGAGCATTCACAACCTCCCTGGGCAACCCTTTCCAGTGCCTCACCACTCTTACAGTAAAGAACTTCTTCCTTATATCCAGTCCAAACTTCCTCTGTTTAAATTTTAACCCATTACCCCTCATCCTGTCACTACAGTCCCTAATGAAGAGTCCCTCCCCAGCATCCCTAGAGGCCCCCTTCAGATACTGGAAGGCTGCTATGAGGTCTCCATACAGCCTTCTCTTCTCCAGGCTGAGCAGCCCCAACTTTCTCAGCCTGTCTTCATACGAGAAGTGCTCCAGTATACATTTCTTATGCATTTCTCTCTTTTTTTTTTTTTTTTTTCCCCTGTGAGTTTCCTGTGGGCTATTGAACCAATGAAAAAAAAAATAGATGAGAAGGCTACATGGACACCTCATAGCAGCCTTCCAGTATTTGAAGGGCGCCTACAAGGATGCTGGAGAGGGGCTCTTCATCAGGCACTGTAGTGATAAGACAAGGGGGAATGGGTTTAAACTTCAACAGGGGAAGTTCAGGTTAGATACGAGGAAGAAGTTCTTTCCTGTGAGGGTGGTGAGGCACTGGAATGGGTTGCCCAAAGAAGTGGTAAATACTCCATCCCTGGCAGTGTTCAAGGCCACGTTGGACAGAAGAGCCTTGGACAACATGGTCTGGTGTGGGCATCACTGTCCATGGCAGGGGGTTGGAACTACATGATCCTAAGGTCCTTTCCAACCCAAACCATTCTGTGATTCTATGTTACTTCTTTTTATCTTGTTTCAAATATTAGTCCTAATACTGAGTGTTCACTTAATGCTGAGCTGCCTCGCTATGTTTTGTTTCTGGTAAACTCAGTGAATGCTTAAACAAATATTTTAAAACCCCAAAACAGTCACAACCAAAGATTCCCTCTCCCCCAAAACTAAACAGAAAAAGCCCTCATGATTTGACCCTCCCTTTTTTTAGAATTTGGGAATGTAAGAGAAACCACTTAGTAATCTTTTTTTATGTCATATTTCCTGTGTACTTTGAAAGTACATAATAGGTTTTTCTGTTAAGATTAGTTATGTGACCTAGCGAAGTGCATTTTCCAAACACTGTTACTTAATGTTTCAGGTTGGCTCCTTCCAGCTGTTTGTTGAAGGATATAAGGAAGCTGACTTCTGGCTCAGGAAGTTTGAAACTGATCCTTTACCTGAGAATACAAGGAAAGAATTTCAGTCACAGTTTGAAAGATTGGTTATTTTGGATTATGTAATCAGAAATACAGGTATTTGTTAATGTCTTGATACTTATCTACTTTTGTGAGGCAGAAATGGTAAGCAGTGCTGGCTGCAAGCTGCTCCTGAATGCTTTTAATGTATTTCAGGTGCTTTTCTCATGATTGAAGGCCAGAATGTTGCATTTAAAACTTAAAAAAAAATTACTTCAAATTCAAGCATTAAATATTGCAAAATCCAAACAACCCTTTTTGGCTGTTACTTGATATTTTTAAGCAATGGAAGAATTCAAGAATAAATACTTCCATTATGCTTTAATTCTGTAAGTAGGCTATTAACTGTTTGCCCCGATTAGGGTAAGGGATGGTGAGGTTTCAGGAACCATAGCACAAGCCATGACTACCATTCCTTTTATGCTAAGCTGGAGTTGAGAACAGCACAGTTTTGCGTCAGTACAGAATACTTCATTGTGACTAGGCATTGAAGTACAACTGTGGTGTGTCAGTCTTGGTTCTCCTGCATTCTTGTTTCTTCCACTCAGAAGCTAGGATTTGTCTGTTGCCTGTGTAGATGTTCCAAAGGCAGATTTATATTTGAAATATACTCCTTTGCTGCTTTGTCTGAGGTGGGCATCTTTACTCTTCTTCAGACTCATACTGGCCCTAGCTAATTTTTCTTAAATTCGCTCATTATAAAGGAATCCAGGTGAAAATAGGTCGCTTAACCTGTGGCTTTTTGGAAACAAACTTAAGTTTCATAACTACTTAATACTCTCTAGCCACAGCTGTGGTCTGTCAGCTTTATCAAATAGATCCCAATGTTTCCAAACAATTACTGTGTCCTGTGATGTTCTTAAAATTGTAAGGAAAATACTCAAAATGCAGAACATCACTATGTGAATGGTTTTACCTTTATCTACTATATTTAATGATGATAGAACATGAAAAACTTCTGATGGATGTTTAACTAAAGTTAGGGGAGCACTTCAATATGACCTAGAAATCCATGCAGTCATTTTCTGTCAGAAAGACCTTGTCAAAGCCTCCAGTGTCTCAATTTTGTGTAAATGGTGCAGACATTTTCATCTTCTGAAAAATCTCTTCATGCCCCTCCTTCCCCTGCTCCCAGTCTTTGAAGAGTCTGTTTTCTCCATGTAGTTGAGCATCACACTGTATATAATTTTGCAGGGCCTCTCTTTTTCCCTGTTAGCTGTAAATTAAGCTTTAAAATTAAGTCATCATGGTACTGCTGCTGATAGTTTTTCCCCAGGAGAAGTGCAAACTACAGCCAATATTTTCTGCATAAAATGAATAAAAATAATTTCTCTTAGCTTACCTGGTATTTTGCTGTACATTCAGCCAGCTGTGGGGAGATTAAAGCAGTAATAAATACCTAAGAACACTTGATAGATTTTTGGTCTTTCCAGTTCCCTCATACATTTCAGTAAAGCTAAAATATATTGTGATGGAGGAAACTCTTTGAACAGTTTTGCCTGACTCTTTTGGTAAATTCTCTGTAAATTCGCAATATTAGTCATTGTATATCACTTTAGATGATGATTTCTTTATAGATGACATGTTGTGACATGCATTTTCCTGTTTAAAGACAGAGGTAACGATAACTGGTTAGTCAGGTATGAAAAACAGCATGATGGACTTGATCTGTCAGATCAGGTAAGAAAATTGTACTCTGAAAGTTGTATTGCTTAAATTGTTTAGTTTCGTAGCTTGATCTTGCAGGGAGTTAAGTGCATGGCTTTAATTCTGGTGTATGGTCTCAAGAAATATAATTGCAAATAATTCTAGGTGAAGTGAATGGAAAAGGTATTTGGATTAGATTAGTCTGGATAAAAGAGTGCTAGAAGGTATTTTTATTATTCTGTATTATTTTTCTTTACCAGCTTGGGCTATAGTAATAATGAAACTGCCCACTGTTGCTCATGCACATTTCTTCAGCTATTTATATGCTCTTCTTGTCTTCTATTTGGGGGAAGGGCTCCTCTTTAATGATGGTAGGGTAAGAATTACACATGCTGGAGTCGATTTGGGTACTCCTTTATACTGTTTAAGTTGACCTTAAATGTGAAGTTAGTGTATTATTTAGTGGTTTTAATGTATTTCACTAGTTTCATAAGCACAAAGGTATCACTTGTTTTTTAAATATTCCTTTTGTAGGATAGCCAATGGACTGTAACTAAGGAATCTACTATTAAAATTGCTGCAATTGACAATGGTTTAGCATTTCCTTTTAAGCATCCTGATGAGTGGAGGGCGTGTAAGTATTGCGTTCTTCAGTCATCTTCCTATTGGGAAAGTGACTTCCAGATTAAGTTGTTTTGTTTTTTTTTGCTTAGGTTGTTGTAGTGCAAGGATGGAGTCAGGAAAGTCAGAGCTCAGCTGTATAAAGCTAGCAGAGGACATAAAGGGCAGAAGGGTTAAGTAAGTTAGAAGTGAGAGTGGGACTAAAGAAAAGTGCAGCGAAGACTTAAAGGCAAAAGGCATAAGAAAGAACAAGTTACTGCTTATGTTTTCTCACTTCTTACCTGTAAGATTTGATCTTTTGGCTCTTGGGTATCAGAGCTCATAAGCAGAGCCTCTGGGAATGGCAATTACACAAAGCAGAAGAAAGGGAGCACTTAAGCAAAACAGACATACAGAAGTTTATAGGAGTAGATAGGGTGCATTGAAAACACAATGGGAGCTGTGTGATGTGAGCCTATTCTCTCAGCACTCAGGAAGGACTGTAGTTAATGTGGGAGGTTGTTGATGAGTAGAAAAATGTATGACATACATCTTCCAGAAGGGCAAGATGTAGAGTACAAGGAATCATAGGGTAGCCAGCCTAACCACAGTCCCCATGAAGACTGTAGAATGAATCCTCCTGGAAGCCACGTACAAGCACATGAAGAACAAGAGGTGATTGGAAAACCACCAACGACAAACTGCTTAATTGACTAGACAGCTTTTAATGCTGACTAGCTCAGTGGATGAGGCAGTAAATATTGGTTTATTTTTTTCTCCTTGACTTCTGTGAGGCCACCTGTGTAGTCTCTCATAGTGTTGTAGAGAAATGTGAGAGATGAACTAGACAAACAGGCAGAGCTGCGTGGAAAACTGCCTGGGCTGTCAGGTGCAAAGGGCTGTGAGCACTGTTAGGAAGTTTCAGTGGGTGGTCTGCTGCTGGTGATGTTCCTGAGTTCCTGCAACTGATACTGTTTGATATCTTGTTTAGCATCTGGTAATAATCTTATAATATCTCTTGAAAAAGCTGTTTAATAGCAATTATGGGAGAAGTTAAGTGTTTTTTTCTCAGCATTTTAATAAAAAAAAAGTTAAGAAATAGTAGCTACTTTTTTGTTAATTCTTCAATAGGTGTCAAACATCTGAAAGATTTCTATTTGATTGCAGCCATTATTTTATTCCAAAGGAAACTGCATTACTAAACTAGGAGAAGGCTGCTACTGACGCTTACAGTGTTTATATACATATTTTACCTACTGCTTCAACTAAATATTTGTTACTTAAAATATTATTTTCACATTTTAGATAAAAGGCTCAGTAGCTGTAAAGCTGCTTTTGTAACTGTAGCCACAAGAGGTATATGGGTAACAATGCTGAGAAAAATGGTGTGTTACTGAGAAATTAGTAGGCAGCAGAGTGTTGTGTCAGTGCTAAGCACTTGAGAATGTATTTTTGCCTGTTGTTAATCCTTGTGTACTGTTTTTCTGCATTAGATCCTTTTCACTGGGCTTGGCTTTCTCAAGCAAAAGTTCCTTTCTCCCAGGAGACCAGAGACCTAGTTCTTCCTCGCATTTCTGATATGAACTTTGTACAGGATCTTTGTGAAGATCTTTATGAACTATTTAAGGTGAATTGGATGCTTCTTTGAATTAAGCATTACTGCAATGGCTAATACATTTAATGGGACAGCTAGATGAGTTTAACTTCTGTATGTCATGGTACTGTTCTCTTTTAGCTTTAATATTGGCAGGGTAGGGAATATATGATAAAGAGGATACTGTCACTAATGTGGCTAATCGATAGTAGCTCATTTGAAAACATAATTACCTTTTAAATACCTAAGTTTCACATGATCAGTTAAAGCTAGTTAACTTTCATAGCACAGGTCTGTGTAAAAATTCAATTTAACATAACTTGTGTGGTGTGTATAACTGAAGATAAACTGTAGCAACCTGAGGAAATCATATATTTAACTTGAAGACCTGCATACCTTTCATAGACTTAATTTTATATATATATATACATAGCGTGTGAAATTGGTGCTGAAATCTTGACCCTGTTTAAACTCAAGTCAAACTTACCTTAAAGATACTGAAACTGTGCTACAATATTGAGATGTAAAGAAGTGTCCTTCTCTGAAACATTCTGTAAACAATTCTATTAGATGTTCAAGTGAAATAATACAAATGATCAGGATGGAAAGAAATGGAAATTTTAAACTTACAATGAAAATGCAGCTGTGATGTTAAAACTAGATCCTGAAACACACTTGCAGTGTTTGGTCTTTGACTCAGTTGTATTCAAAGTGACTTTGGGTTGTCTGTTAAACCCAATGGAAGTTGAATATTTAATAAATCTGAAGGAGGAAGTATTTCTTTGTCAGTAAAGGTGAGAGACAGAGCAGTGTAACATGATGTGATGGTATTAGGCATACCTATCAATGTTCTAAAGTAGTATCTACTGATAAAATATATCTACTGATGTACTTTAAGATGTGGAACATTCTTCATTTCCACAGAAGTAAACTTGCTGCAGTAAATAGACCTTTGTGTGTCATACTATGACTGTTTAAAGCTTCCAAAATTTATTATGATATTGGTAAGCATGACTATGCATGCATTAAGTTGCTGAATTTGCATACTGAATATATAACTAGAAATTAATGGGTCATTTCTTATAATAACTATTTTCTTTATTAAAGACTGATAAAGGATTTGACAAGGCTACTTTTGAAAACCAAATGTCTGTTATGAGGGGGCAGGTAAGACTGCTTTTTTACATTTTAATTTATGTATTTAATTTGCCAATGCTTGTCAGCTGTTTCTTTTAGAGCTACAAAAACTGACTCCTATTGAACTGGAAGACACGTAAAGGTATTTTCATCTGAGAAGACTAAATTTCTTTTTAGAGTTTGTTCACATAATACTTGTATGTTCATAGAAGGTATTTAAAAAATGAAACAGTGGAGAAGAGTCATATACTCAAATGGAAGGTTTGGTGGGTAATTTCATTATGTTATTGACTTTATTTTGGAGAGCTAACTTGATTATTTAAATGCTTCTCACAAGAAAGCAGTATTAGGTAATAAAATTTCTTCATCCTAGCAAATGTCAGAGCCATACTTGGAACCAATCGAGTCATTTCCAGATTTGAAAGTTGATGATGATTAAACATTGGTTTGTTGTTTTGGGTTTGTTTCTTTGCGTTTTTGTTGTTTTTTTTCCACACAGTGAAGCAAGGGAGGAGAAGGGTTTCACCATCTTTGCTGTTTTAAAATTTAAGACTAGTGTGAGATAATGGAAAGCCAGCTTTAGCTAAGAACAAGTTATTTAGCTCATTATAGGCATAAAATACTGATTTATGAACATGCAAGGGAATTGGGCTAGATAAATTACTAGTCCCATGTGCACTGATTTTATTGAAACTAATTTCTGTGTTCAGAAATTCAGGATGGATAGTTTAAACCCCAATATTCACACTTCTTAGAGCAGCTTAATCATACCTTTTGTCTGTAGTTTTCTGTGTCAATAGTACCTTGCACAAGATTGCAGCTCTGCTTAGTCAAAGTGTAATCCCAGTTAACATTAGTTGTGGTGGCTAAAAGCCAACAGTCCTTACTTGAATTAAGTTACAGGAATTATTTCTGAAAACATTTCTGAGAAGTTTGTGCAGTCACTGGAAGATCAATTCTGAAGGATTCGTCCATCTTAATCTGTGTTAAGTAGCCTTTTTGTGATGAGACAATTGTCCACAGGGAATCTGTTAGTTAATGAAAAGCTTAAGGAAAAAACTCATCTATGTAACTGAGAGAGATGAAGCTAAAGTTGTCTAAATAAATTTCCTATTATAAAGGCTGCAACTGTACGTTTTCTTCACACCCTGAAGGGAATTTCAGCAGAAAATTTATTTTAAATGTTTCTCTAGCTGTATGAGAATGGGTTTCACTGTGGGAGATGTCAGGTTTTCAGGCATGGGTTTAGGGAAGAAACAAGGATGATGAGTTATTCTTGGATGTGACTGGAAATACATCCGCAAATTGTGCATTTTAGCACTGATTTTAGACTTGCTTTTGGTGTAAAGCCAAAGCATGTTACAAGGGCATTATGGAAGAGTTAAGATGAATTTGCAGAGTAGCCAAAACGTCTGTACATGCATCCTTAATAATAAAAACTTTGATAATTTGAAAATTAAGAATCTAGTGGATAGAGGCTGACAAGAAATGCATCTTGCATGTCAGGGGTGAGATCTTCAAAATACCAAAAGTAGTTAGCATATTTTTGTGAAGTGTGTGTGTGTGAAATACTGGGCAGGGTTTCAAACCCAAGATAAGCTGTTCCCTCAGGAATATGGAGACTAAAAAGCTAGGTAATGCAGATCTACAAAGGGGATTGCCTTAAAGCTCAGAAAATGTAAATGTCTAGTGGAATTGCTGGAAGAGCTGAATTGCAGTAAACCATGCAAAAGACTATCAGGGTTCTTCAGCCATGGAAGTGCAGAATCAGCAGGGGATCAGTAAGTTCACAAGGAAGAAAGGGACATTGTGCAGGGAAAAAAATAATGATATTAAGGATAATTGAAGTGTGTCACCAGAACTAAATTCATAGAATGATAGAATGGTTTGGCTTGGAAGGGACCTTAAAGGTCAGACAGTTCCAATCTGCATGGGTAGAGATTGCTCAAAGCCCCATCCAACCCTGGCTTGGACACTTCCAGGGATGGGGCATCCACAGCTTCTCTGGGCAACCTGTTCCATTGTCTTACCACCCTTGCAATATAGAACGTCTTTCTCATATCCAGTCTAAATCTTCCCTCTTTCAGCTTAATCCCTTTGCCCTCGTCCTGCCACTACGTGCCCTTGCCAAAAGTCCCTCTGCAGATTTCTTGTAGGCCCCCTTCAGGCACGGAGGCTGCTCCAAGGTCTCCCCAGAGGCTTCTCCAGGCTGAGCAAGCCCAATTCTCAGCTGGTCTTCATATGACTGGTGCTCCAGCCCTCTGAGCATCTTCATGGCCCTCCTTTGGACTCACTCCAACAGGGTCTACATCCCTCTTTTGTTGGGGGCTCCAGAGCTGGACACAGTACTTAAGGTGGGGGTCTCATGAGAGCAGAGCAGAAGGGGAGAATTGCCTCCCTCTACCTGCTGGTCACACTTGTTTACATGCAGCCAGGTTTGAATTGTTGGAAATGCAATACTTTTGTGTAGGGAATTGCTGGAAACTGAATTGCTGCAAATTGAACGCTTGCCTCAGTTTTCATCAGGTTAACATTGAATGTGGAGTAAATTACTGGGGCAGTTCATGAGCACTGAGGTTTTGGAAGGAGATAACATACTTGTGGGAGTGAAGGTCTTGGCACTGGATCTGGTGTGGGTTAATGATATTGCTTCATATGATATGAAAATAACTTGTAGCTACAACACCTGGTAGATCCTATGTTAAGTACATGTTGATTGCTTTCTTGTAGCTTTTTTTTTTAAGTATGCAGTGCTCTTAAGAGATGTGCTAAAATGAAAATGCTCTCAGATTTTTATGTCTTAACATTTTCCAACATTTCAGAGGACATTGCATGAAATAGTCATGAAAAGACCAGAAAGGTGGTCAGTGGTGGGATGTTATAATGTTACCAAACAGATAAAGCATTTCTGCTTTCAATAGAGTATCCTTAATTTATTTGACAGCACATCTGTAGGGACAGAATTTATTTCAGTGAAATCTAAAATTTATAAACCCATTAACGATAGTTTTATTTGTATGCTTTTGCTCTTTTAGATATTAAATCTTACTCAGGCGTTAAAGGATGAAAAGAGTCCCATTCAGCTTGTTCAGATGCCGCGTGTGATTGTGGAGCGAAGTAGCACTGGAGGTCAGGGCCGAATTGTTCAGCTGAGTAATGCGTTCACGCAGACCTTTCATAGCAGGAAGCCTTTCTTTTCCTCCTGGTAGCAACAAAAGTACGTGGGAAGAGTAAGTTTCTGGAGTTCAGAAAGCTACTTCTATGTAAAAGCTTTGCAATAATATACTTCTGCTGTATAACAGGAGCTCTGACTGCCACCACCTCAAAACTTAAATTCTGAAGACTTAAATGTATTTTGAATGTAATAAAAGTTTACAATTTTTGTGTCAAAATTGTGAATTCTTATGTTGGGGATGAGAAGAACTTGTCCATACTGTATTTTTATAGGCTAAACTAATGTATTCTGAATACGGGAAGATACACAGTTTGCGTATGCTGAGAAACTACTTTTGAATACAACAGGAATTCTTTTTGTTTCATATAAATGTGAGAACCTGTACACTATTGACTTCTTTTATATGGTCTTTAAAAATTGCAGAACGTTATATTTGATTGTGCAAATGCTTTTCCCTGGAATTTCTTGCTGGTATTTTAAGCTGTTAGATTTTTGTAGGCTAGTTACTTGAGAAGTCATGCACTTTAAATAAAAAATGGAGGGAGGGAGAAGGGGGCGGAAATGCTTCAAGTGGGTTTTTTTGCACGTTCAGACCAAAAATAGCTAAACACTTGCATTATAGTGAAGTCCAACCTGAGTGAAGTATCCACAGGTCCTAGTCATGGAATAAACTGAATGTAGGTTTCGGAGTTTGATATTTCACCTGTAGCTTTTAGAACCAGTGCATTTAAGCACATTAGGGAAAACTGTGATATTTCTGTATAGATCCCTCACAGCAAAGGAATTGCAGCATGTTGTTGCAGGTTTGCTTTGCCATATGCCTATAACTGTTCGTCAGTAGTCACCAAAGTGGTTCTGCACTATGAATGATGGGAGCACTGATGTGTTCAGCACGAAGCCAGTCTGCCTTCTCGACTTATATGTAAACACACAGTTGTTTTTGTTTTTTACTGGAAAAAAAAAAGGACAGAAACTGTGATACATAGAGCACAGAGACTTCTTATTGTGCCCTTAGCAATGTCATGCGCATTCGCCATTTGCTTTTATGCGTAAGTTAGATGGTTTAGGACTTGATTGTCATGTTTCAAGATCTGTGGCTTATGTAACATGGAAAGTATTTTTATTTTAGTAATTTTCTGGGCAGTTAAGACTAGGAAAAGGGAAAAAAATTTGCTGCTTTTATGGAACCTTCAGTATTTCAGTCATTGCTGTATTTTGTAATTCTAAGCAATACTGTGGGCAAAAATAATAAAATGCTTGTATTTTATATAATTTTGAGTGGATTTAAATGTTAATGTAGCTTGTCAGCACTTCGCATGCCTAACTGAAATGTTCAAGCCTTAAATGTAAAGCTCACTGTATGGTGGAGTTAAAATTGGGTTGAAATGATCACCTTTATAAACATTCCATGATTGTTTTTATCCAGACAGTTTATTTAAAAATTTTAAGATGGTGTTTATGTACCGGACATACCCACTGAAGAAAATAAAACCGCACGGGGTTCGGGCTCGGCTGTCGGTGGTGTTCTGTCGATAGACGCTGTTTCGCAGTTCCATGGGAAGGGACGTGTTCTCCCTCGGCGCTTCGGCCGCCGCGCCGCTGGGGGGAGCCGCAGCTTTGGCTGCCCTGCCCTGTCCTGTCCTCCCTTAGCTTGTCGGGTGGCGAGGGCTGCCGGGAAGCAGGCGGTGCCATGGCGGCCGGCGGGGTAGACGACCGGGGGTGTGGGCGCGGGCTGGGTTCCGGCGGCTTGGCCCTGCTCGGGCTGGTGCCCGGCGCGCCCCTCTGCCCGCACGGTGAGCGGCAGGGGGGATCTCTGATAAGCCGGGCTTGGGGTGGCCGCGGTTCCCGGCGGGGGGCTGACACCTCCCACAGCGTCTCTGTTCATCCCCAGCCCCTTACCCGGCCCCCGCCAGGAGCTGTGTTAGCGTGTTCTGGAAGCTTGACACTTGCACGCATCTGTTGGTGTCCCGTGTGTCATGCATGATGATGTTTGTCCTTCAGGTCCTGCTCTTCTGTTTGTAAAGACCAACCAAGGAGGAGAGGAAGGAAGAAGGTTTTATGCTTGTTCAGCCTGTAGGGATAGAAAAGATTGTAACTTTTTCCAGTGGGAAGATGAGAAGGTAAGAGGGCGCTGTGTAGGACTATGGTAAATATTGGGGATGATCTTTCTGTTTAAAAGAAAATCGTGAGTAAATCTGACATTTGTTACTGTATTGCCAAAACACTTGTCTATTCAAGTTATGATGTTTGTAAATGTCATGCAATGTTGAACAAAATAGGAAGTTCTGATCTCAAGATGTCCTCATCTTCCACAATGTAGACAGGAAATCTGGTGGACACAGGCAAACAATGGGTTATGTAAAATAGATGGTAGGGATTAGCATGATGCTCAGTAGTCTCAGTAGAACATCTGCAGCAATTTATCTACAAAACTTTGGGCAGATAATTGTAGGGTGGCAAAACAGTGTGACAATACGTATTCACGGAGAGCTTGCTGTGGTTTTTGTCCCCTGCATTTTATGTTACTTTTTCTGTTTCCTAAACGTTTCTTGTGTTGCTGTCATTGTCCTCAGCAGCTTGTCAGGCTGGAGTTTGTGTTCATTAGCAGCTCATTGCTGTGCTGATTGCTACTGAAAAGTTATATAAAGAGAAAATGAGGTAGTTAATCACTTGCTTGTGTAGATTTAAATGGTATTTTGAATGTCACTGGTATAATGGTGTCTTTTGTTCTATTGAATTTTCCTGTCCTCCCCCATTAAAGAAATTAGTTCCTTAAGTTTTGCATAGATGTCTTGAAACACTGTTAACTGTGAAACTATGTTTTGTGGGAACAAAGTACAAGACTCAGAGAATAGCTGTTATGCTTTTAAAATAATCGCACATGAAAGACTTGGGCGTTTCTGCTGTCATCAGTTGTTCAGGATCAGATCATAGTTCTTCATAGAGAGTGCAACTGCTGTCACGCATTAATGAAGAGTATACCTCTTTCTGTCTTCATCATAACCAAGTTTTGAGTTTTCCCCGGAGTATCACATGTCGTAAAAGAATGAAATCTTTCTATTTTTTTACGGTTTAAATTCACAATGAGATGCTCGTAGTGTTTTGCAGCATTCCTCTGTGCTGCAGTCATGCTTGTTCTTCTGCAGCAACCCAAAGTGTGATAATTTTGCTGTGCAGAGTAACTAAAGCATGAGACCTTTGATGCACCCTTTTTGTTTAATAACTGAGATTTAATACAAAGCAATATCTGTTTCATTTGTAATGTTTTATAAACATAAATTTTACAGGTGTCAGAAACTAGGCTTGCAGCACGTGAAGAATACAATAGAAATCACCAGCCTTCTTTTACACACAGACAGAATGTGGAAAGGTATTGTTAATGGCTATTTTCTTCAGTAAAAATCAAGTAATACAGGTTTAGGTACTTTGAATGCAGGAATCTTTAAACTGTGAAAACATGCCAGAGGGATCTGGAAAAATAAGAATTAGTTGACTTGCAAGAGGGAAATAGCATGAAATCTGTAATTAGAGCATGGTATTTTCACCCCAGGAACTGTATCTATCTTTTTTTTTCTTTTTTTTTTTTTTTGTATATGTACTTCTTACATTAGTGCTCATAATGTGCTAACAACAGGTCAGTAGCAGCGTCAGTTCAAAAAGTTATTCCTGACTTTAGGGTGCAGAAGTAACAGGCTTAACAGGCTTCTTGTGAAAAGAAGCAAAGGTGATAGAGTGATAAATGACATCCTAGTTCTGTGTATAAACATACAGGACTGATTGCTGGTAGTTGATACGGAGTCTTCACTTTCTAATCCAGTTATTTTGTGGGCACTCTCAATATATTTGGCTCGTATATTATAAGCTTTTTAAAGTGTCCTTTGAATATATTTTCATAAATAAGAATTCACATGTAGGTAGTGGAGTTTTTTGCAAGAGCGGCTTATGCTACATTGCCTCTTTAAATGTCTGAACTAAAAAAAAAAAACAACCTTCCTTCATAGCCCCGTTCATATGTTTGTTACCTATTGTCTTAAAGGTTCAAGGATTTTGTTCTGTTGCCGTTATCAAAGAGGAGGTTTTGCCAGGAATGCCAGCAATTGCTATTGCCAGCTGAATGGGAAAAACACGCAGCTCACCAGTTCCTGTGTGATATCTCCACTGCCCAGTTAAAAAGCCCCAGTCAACTTCTGTATCCTCTTGAGAATAAAAAAACAAATGCCCAGTACTTATTTGCAGACAGAAGTTGTCAGTTCCTACTGGATCTTATTACTGATTTAGGATTCAGACGAGTGCTCTCTGTTGGAACACCCAGGTATGTCAGTGGGAATTGTTACACTTTCAAATAGTATTGATGCGCGGATTGACTCCACAACTTGTTAAAGCTGTAAAGGAGGTATGCTTTTTATTCAGCGCTGAGACGCACAGGGATAATTCCTCAAAAGTCATGCATGCCTCAGTGTTGTTTCCCTCTACATTTATAAGGTTGCACCAGATGCCTATACATATTCATGTCCTATCCCCGCTTCGTATTACAGTGAGCTAGAAGGTCCTTTGCACCTGCGCAGTGCCCCCTCTAGTCATGGGCAGGGGTCTCAAGATGAAGTAAATGAGTCTTCCTCCTGTGGGTAGGGGTCTTCAAGATGAAGTAAATGAGTCTTCCTCTTCTTGAACTTTTCACCTTTTAGTCTTCACGTATGGCCTTAGGGTTTGGTCCCAGCCATAAACCATCTGCTTCTCCCCCTTAACAGTAGATTCAGGGGTCTGTTTTTCCCTATCAATAGGTGCTTATCGGTAGAATCAGGTGTCTGCTTTTCCTTGTCAGTAGAACCAAGTGTCTGCTTTTCCTTATCAATAGTTAGTGCCTTTGTTCTGCTTAGTAGGCATGATAGGTACAGACAATACCTTTGCTTAAACAAGCGAATTCCTCTAACCCCCCTGTACAACCCCCCTGTACAATCCCCCTGTACATTGGTCAACCCTCTGCATCAGTATACTTCCCTCAAAGCTGTGCAGGTTATTAAGATTTAAATCATCAAGGATTGTGCCATCGTAAGAGTTTCTCTGTGCTTAAATTGGTTGGAATTATTTAAGCGTCTGGTGGGATCTTGCTTTGACCTCATAAGATACAGAAGACTATAGCTGCTCTGCAAATAATACACACACTTTAAATATTCCATGTTGTTTCTTACAGAAGTGGTAGTGAAATTCTTTGCTTATGTTTGGGGTTTTTGTTTGTTTGTTCCTGGTGATCCTGTAGGCTTCACTGACTTTTCATCTTTTAAGACTAATTTTTCTAACTTTGAATATTAGCCACACAGAATCGTCCACATTCAGATTACTCCATTTTCTCTTACCTGCTTGGTTTTAGGTTTAGTGAAATACCAGGCATTCTTGTCTTGCAAGATAATTTTTGAAGCCACTGATTATGTGTTAAATTTCTTTGCTCCAATTGTACTTCAGGCTTCATGAAATGATCCAGTCAAAAGCATCACGAGAAGAAGATTTCAGGGTTAGAAGCCTTCTGCTAGATATTGATTTCAGGTAGGTTTTGACAAATGTCTGTGTCTGAAGAGTATGTGCAAGGTTTGTGTTTCTGCTGCTTTAAGATAGATTGGTGCTTGGTCTCCCTTTCCTGTCTCTGCATGTCTGTTCTTACACACATACACAAATAACATCCAGTTTATGAGAAAAGTAATAATACATAATAATTCCTAGTGTTGGTATGTATTGTCAGTAATCAGAGCCCAATTGTTGCTTTTCTTAAGGTCTTGGTTTTCGATGTAAATGCCCCTAAGTGCAGACAAGAAGTTGGTTATATTTTCCTACTGCCATTAAAACTTATTTTACAGGTATTCACAATTTTACACAGAAGATGAATTCTGCCACTACAACATGTTTAATCACTATTTTTTTGGTGGAGAGGTAAGGCCAAGTATTTCTTGAGTGCATTATAAACAAGTACATGTTGTTGATGCAGAATTTTATAATAAAGTCATGGCTAGACTAAAGGAAACAGCTATCGTGAGATAAAAATGGTCAACACTACTGGAAATCAAAGAATAACAGTGCCTCTTCAGTAATTCTTTCTGACTTTCTGCATCAAAAGGAGCGTGACCAGCAGGTCGAAGGAGGTGATCCTGCCCCTTTATTCTGCTCTCGTGAGACCTCACTTGGAGTATTGTGTGCAGTTCTGGTGTCCTCAGCATAAAAAGGACATGGATCTGTTGGAACAAGTCCAGAGGAGGGTCACAAGAATGATCAGGGGACTGGAGCACCTCCCATATGAAGATTGGCTGAGAAAGTTGGGGCTGCTCAGCCTGGAGAAGAGAAGGCTGCGTGGAGACCTCATAGCAGCCTTCCAGTACCTGAAGGGGGCATATAGGGATGCTGGGGATGGACTGTTCATTAGGGATTGTAGTGGTAGGACAAGGGGTAATGGGTTAAAACTTAAACAGGGGAAGTTTAGATTGGATATAAGGAGGAAACTCTTTCCTGTTACGGTGGTGAGGCACTGGAATAGGTTGTCCAGGGAGGTTGTGAATGCTCCATCCCTGGCAGTGTTCAAGGCCAGGTTGGACGAGGCCTTGGGTAATACAGTTTAGAGTGAGGTGTCCCTGCCTGTGGCAGGGGGGTTGGAACTTGATGATCTTAAGGTCCTTTCCAACCCTTACTATTCTATGATTCTATGACTTGATGAAAAGATAAAGTTGCCTGTTGAATTTGTGCTACCTAATGTTACCTACACCTTATAACTGCTGCTTTTATTAAAATGACAGTTTGATGTGAGTTGTTGTATTCATTAGCACTTTTCTTCTGTTGCTACAACAGCCCTTACAAGCCCAGTGGATGCCATAAATCTTGTTCACTGGTAATTGAGGTGGGAGGAAAAAGGAGGTTTTTCTGCTTTATTTAAGGCAAGCAAGGTCAAAAGGTTAACCTTGTTGTCATAAAATGAAATTGAATTAGTATAATGGTTAAAGAAAATGCTGTGCTTCTTGATGCTTTTTGAATGTTACATTATGTGCTTAATTTTGACTTTATTAGAAAACCTGCAGTTGTAGTAGGACATTTATTGCAGCTTTGTACAGTCACAGTGTAATTCAGTTCCAAACGTTAATTTCAAACATTTATCCCTATAGTATAGTCACTCGCTCTTTGTTCTTCCTCTGCCATTATTAGTAAGCTACCACTGATTTGCATAAACTTATTTATTGCAATACTTTTCATACTACGTAGATAATTTTTAGATCTTTTCCATTCCAGAAGCTAATTTTGAATGGGATCTTGAAAAATAATCACCTAGGTTTAAATGGGATTTGGTCTGAAAGCCTTACTTTTGGTGGTTTTTAATCCGTTGCTGTACCCAAGTTTTGTGCTTTTCAATTAAAGCAAAAGACTGTTCCTCTGCATTATAAACACTTTGCTGTTCTTTTCAAGGTGTGAAAAGGTGACACCTGTAATGACACTTTATTGCAGTGTATTCAGGGACTGAACTGCAGCACTCTTGAATGCATATTGATGTTAGAAATCTGGGTTTGGAATGCCATAGAAGCTAAGTGATAGATGACAGAACATCTGTTTCACACTGTGAAATGGCAGGGAAGACATAGCTTTTTACATTTACTTTCATAATAAGAGTCCAGGCTGGATTGCTAAAATTTGAACAGTTGTCATAAGCAGTATGGATTGAATCAGTTTTCAGTGGACTGAATTGTTCCCATTACTTTGATAGTGCTTTACCAAATAAAACAAAGGGTATGAATAAAATATATTTTAAGCCTGAAAGTTGCTTTTTTGCTATGAACATCTTTTTTCCAAGTTAAATTTAATACCCTTAGGAGGAAGACTACCTTAAGAAGCTTGAATTGCATCTGCCCATGATACATTATCTCTAGCTGAACAGGGCACTTGTTTTCAGCGCTTCAAGTAGTTTTTTGTTCTTTTTTTTTTTTTTTTCCTTACTACCCAAGAGGAAATAACTTCTGTCTTTAAAGTTGACCTTTCTAAAATAGTAATTTTATTGCTAAAGACAATACTGTTGCAGTTCTTGAATTTATATTTCTGGAAATTAACCTCTGTTTCTTACAGGCTGCATGTGAAACTTGTAGGAAATTCTTGTATCAAGACAATGGTGAAAGAGTCATTATGGTGACTGATCCCCCATTTGGAGGGTTAGTGGAAGCACTGGCTTCTAGTTTTAAAAAACTAATGGCAATGTGGAAGGAGACAGAAAAAGGAGGTAGGTATTGCAGCCAGATAGGTGGGTTGAGCTGTAAGAAGAAGTACCCATTTAAAAGTCTGATTCTTGCTGCTCAGATGAATGTGAACACACTTATGTTGTAATTTCTAAAGATTAACTACTATAGATCTAACTTACTCTCCTGATACTTACAGTTTAATAATACCTAATTCTTTAAGTCTGTCTTAAAAACTAACAGTTTTTTTATAAATCTACTTAGCAATGAAAATGGACTTTAAAGGTAGAGAGGAAGCTGCTATCAAACCAATACTATTTCTTACGAACCTAGGGGGGTTGGAATTAGTGAAGTGGAGCTTACAGCTCCACATATATAAAACATGCCAAAACTATCTGTGGCCTGCAGGACCTAGTTCTTATGCCCAGCATGACACATGTATTCAGAATGGTTTTTTTTCATGTATATTCAGGATATACATGAAGCATTTTTCATGCTTCATGTACCTCGTTTTTCTTTAAAGTACATCTAAGTCTTTTCATTACTAGGTCATAACAACCAAGAGATGCCTATCTTCTGGATATTTCCATACTTCTTTGAGTCTCGTATTCTGGAGTTCTTCCCAAGCTTTAGTATGATGGATTACCAGGTATGACTGAACCCAGTGAATCCGCCAAATTTCAGACATGTTCATTGTGAACAGGAGATGAAAACAGATACAGTGGTAGCACTTCTCTGTAGATAGGCCACCTTCTTGGTCTTTAGTTTTGACAGCATTGGAGTCACTGCAAACCCTGTGGTTCTCATGATGTGAAGTCCAGATCCTGTATTTCTGTTAGTCATGCTTTTGATAATTTTGTTCCTCTCCTACATCTTATTAGGTACCTTTAACTTACCTGTTGTCTGTCCATTAATTCATCTCTTCTGCAATGTTTTCAGTGTGACAGAATTTGCACTAATTTTGACAGGTGCATATTTCAGAAGTGGGCGGTAGCTTGAAGAAGAGTGTTTCATTTTTCCCAGCTGTTGAAATGTCAGTAGCTTGGTGGTTAATGGCCATCCCTGGTAAAAAAAGATTGAAAAGTAAATAAATAATAAATAAATAAGGTCTGTCATCTCCAAAACTGCCAGGACCAAAGTAGAATCACAACAATGGAAATTTTTGGAATTACATAATAAATCAAGTTGTCGGTGATAAAGCAGTAATCTGGCATCAGCTTCTCCAGTATTGCATCCGTTAGTTATGTCAGAGTGTGCACATCGGTGACTTCCAAGAGCTCAGCCATGGGTATTCATGATGTTAGCATTTTGTTTTCTCATATAACAACTCTGTGTAAAATCTGACATGGGTGTTCTGAACAACATACTTGTATCTTGTAGAATGGAAATTTGTGGAAAAAAATTGGAAACTCCTGCTAGGCTAGACTCTGCATTCCTGCCTAATGTTAAGATGTGAGAATTTTTGTGCTGGAGAAAGCACTGCTGATTGAATTTGCAGCTTTGTTATTATTCTGAGATCTGGTAAGGTGCAGGTCAGCTGGTATTGCCAGAGTGACCAAATGGTATAGTTCCATGTTCTTAAATGGGTTGCTCTTTTGTAGAGCATCTGCAATGTTATCTTAGATACTCCATGCAAAAGTGCAAAAAGGTAGACTAGGATTATTGTAGTACTGGGAACTTAGTTTCCTGAATCTAGCCTGATGCTGTGTTTGCACACATTTAAAAGTAAATGAGACAAAATACTTGTAATCTAATTTGGGGTTAGAGTATTTTGTATAAAAATGAAAATTTCATAAGGCACATATAAAGATAATAAATATGTAAATAGTTCTGCCTGTGCTTAGCATTCACTTTAAGACTGACTTTCTGTGGTTTTCTATTTCTAGGTAGACTATGATAATCATGCACTTTATAAACATGGCAAGACAGGTCGTAGACAGTCTCCGGTCCGTATATTCACAAACCTCACCCCAAGTATGATTGTACTTCCTGTGGAAGAAGGTTATAGGTAAGATGTATTAACACTCAAGTGACATGGTACTGTTCAGTATTTTCTTGCCTGACTTTTGGATGTCAGGCTGAAGAGCACATTTCTGTCTCTCATTTTTAAGGTTCCATGTTCTGTCAACAGCATGTAAGAGAGCTGGGAACCTAAAAAGAGCTTTTTCAAGTGTGGAATGATTAAATTCCTGAGCTTGTCTGTAGGAAATTATGTGTACACCTACAAGAGGTATAAGAGCCGTGCCTGATTATCAGCTTGGTTGAGACAGTAGTTAATAAAATGAGCATTTAGGGAAGCATCAAGGACAAAGGAATAGATTTGGTTTGATTTACCGCTAATAGTGTGGATAATATGGATTCAAACACCTGAATTTTATTATTTGCATGTACTGTGTTTAAATGGCCGAAGTGGTGATTTTATGCATCAAAAACATCATCTTTAATTTAGAAGAATGATTCTGCAGTCTTTATATTTACTGTTGAGCTTGTATAAAATTAATTTATATTGCTTTGTGAGCAAATAGTGGACTAGTACATTTAAATTTCGTTTTTTTTCAGGTTTTGCACTATATGTCAGCGCTATGTTAGTTCTGGTAACCAGCACTGTGAGATATGCAATTCATGTACATCAAAGGTAGGTATTTTGACTTCTTTCTGTATAGCAGTTTTAGCAGTAGTCTCTCGTAAAAACTTATTTTGATTCTGACTTCCTTGGGAAACCCTAAGCAGTTCAGTTTCCTAGACTTTCTGACTTCACAGGACATCATTCATTGTCCACTGGGAATTAGTTTCTCTTTCCCCAGTTACTTTGTGTTGGAAAGAGGACAGGAAAAGTTTGGGACTTACACCATACCTTATTCATTAGTGGTCTGTTGACACATATATTTCTTATGTTTCGGAAGTTGTAGAACTTGTTAATCTCAAAATGCTGCAGTTGTCACAGATTCTCAGGACTGTTGTTTCCAAGTTACAGTCCTTCCTGCAGAGGACCTGTTTCTGTAAATAATGGGGACCACATATCAGTAGTTCAGTTTTAAGCTACAGTCGGGGGGGAGTTTAAACAAACAAAGAAATAAACAGTGTATTTATTCATCTTTTGTAGGATGGTAGACGATGGAAACATTGTGTTCTTTGCAAAAAATGTGTAAAACCCTGTAAGTATAGAAAAATGCTTTTCTAAATAAAAGTACACTTCTTGTTTAAGCTATAGACCAAAGAAACTGAGATTGCAAACCAGAAAATATTCTGTAAAAGGATCAAATGTAATTTCTCAGAAGACACAGAGTAAAGGAAAAATCTCAGTTTCACACAAGTTGCCACACGGTAACTAAGGTACCCTTGTCTCATGTAGGAATGTGATAAATTTTTTGTCAAGCCATACTAAATCCCATTCATACTTGTTATAGGAAAACTTAAATATTTTGATTTTTTTTTGTCTCCTGATGTTGTCAACTTTTCCTTTAGAATTTCATAAACAAATAGGCAACTATTAAAAAGTTTGAGAGGGCAGGATCAAATTACGTACAGTTGTATTTATAGCTGTGTTTAAGTATCTGAAGCAATCATTTTTGTTACTGATACAGAAATTGCAACATTTTAACATCTGGATTTTATTTTTTTTTTCATTTAAGATTGCATACAGGATAATAGTTCTAATGGCAAAATAATTCAGTTATATTGGAATAGTCATACAGTGTATTTGTCTACCTGGCTGCCTTACAAAATGTGATAAGGTACCAGAAACTGACTGCATCCATCTCTGTAAAACTAAAACAGAATTAAAAACCTGGCAATATAGCCTGTATCTAAAGCTTAGTTTCAGAATGATCATTCTAAAAATCATGTCACTTTCCTTCGCAGCTTGGTTTCACTGCAACAATTGCAACTGCTGTGCTCTTCAAAGCCACACTTGCGAGAAGACTGATGCTGGTTGTTTTGTTTGTGGCAAGGCAGGTCACAAACGCAGTACCTGTCCCAGTCTTTCCCGCACCAGAAGAGCTTGCCAGTAAGTGTGATACTGCATTAATATAATAAAAGATAGCATTCAAATGAGATTAGATTTTGTTTCATGCAAATGATCTAGAAAGAGATGACTTTTGCCTTTGGGTGCTGATGACAGCTTTCACCATTGCCCATTTGCTGTATCTCTGGGGTCTATATACTGAAAGGAGGATATGATAAAAGGCGAGTCACCTACTGTGTCTCCCAGTTCCGTAACTGTGGCTTTTCTTCCAAAGCCGATGTATACAGATCCCAGATTTGGTGTATGATGCATGGGATAGCTCTGTCAAGAAGATTCAAAATTAATGAAACACTTTTATCCCCTTCATTAGATTCCTCATGAAAGGGCAGAGAAAAGAGTCACTACTATGCTCTTTTCATTGCTTCCTGTCTCTTTTGCTTTGTTGTGACATCTTTTGGGGGTATTCTTTCTGATATTTCGGGTGCTCTCTGTTGTACAGTCTAAATCCCCACCATATAAAATCTGCATTAATGAGGGTCACATTAAATGCTTTTATTCTGCTATGATTGTGCCTCTGTAACATACACAAGCACACACTTGTATGTATCAAAAGAACAAAAAAATTCAGATGGAACTAACTCAAAAGGGGAAAGGGAAAATCAGAGGCTGAAAGCAATCCACTTGCTACTTAGGTTTAGGTCCTGTATTATTTGCAGGCGTCTTCAGAAAGTTAAGCTGTCTGTACTTTTTTCTAAGCCTTTCTGTTACATATCTGTGCATTATATATTGAGTATGAAAGTCTGTATGTGCTTTTTTGTATTGGTGAGTGGCATTTCTTATTGTTTTTACATTGGCATAAAGGTAAAATGCTGAATAAATATGTAAGTGAAAAATAATGAATGGCAGTAAAATGGACAGTTCTAGGAGGATTAGGTGTCATAGCATTGTAGGATGTAATGTTCCTTGTACTTTTTGTGAGTTTATGAGCTTCTGGGGTCATATACGTACATGGAAAGATTATATAAAATGCTAGCAAATGTAGAGGTACGTTCTCCATTTTAATCTGTATGTTCCTTTTGTGCTTTACAGAGCTGACAAAAAAGCAAAGGCAGAGAACTCTGAAGAGGGTAAATACGCTGTGAAGCATGCCATGTTCTCCAGGAAAAAAGTAAAAAAAAAAAAAAAAAAAAAAAAGAAGCCTGACTTTGCTTGCTGATACATAGTTATTTTTTATTATGGCCAGCCGTTGATTCCTGTTTCTGATGATGTTAATATTAACATCCAAAATAAAATAAAACCTGATTCAATTAAAAGTGACAGTTCTTTCATTGTACATCATTACTAGCATAAAAAAAAAAAAGTGCTAAGTAACGTGTACACTTACCATGTGTTTGTGTAATAAATTTGTATGTTTAGGTTTACCTGTCTGGTGTACTGGGAATCTGTTCTGCTGAGTGGTGAGGTGTTGGGGCACATCACTGCTGGCAGAGGTAGCGTATGTTGTAAAAATGGACTGGGTGTCAGTGCAGCCTATTTTGGGTGTAAGCGTAAGAAAAACGAGGTTTTGTGTTGCAGTAGGAGGGGATGAACCTCCTGTGCTGTTAGCTGACGTCAGAGCAGCGTTGCTTTGCACTGTAGGGAGGACAGGCTGGGCTTCCCCCACACAGCCACACCTAGCTGGGCCCGGGCCCGCCTGGGACCTAACCGCCGCGGGCCCTACCCTCATCCCCGATGCGGGGAGCGAGAGAACGGCATGGGGCCTACGGCAGGCGGGTGCCGCGGCCGTGAGGGCGGGGCGAGAAACAACCCCGTTCGCCGCTGAGGGTAACCAGGCCCAATCCTCGCCGGGGCGGGAAGCACCGCCTCCGGAAGTCGGGCGCGGAGGGCGGGAGACCGGCGGCTTTGCGGGGCTTAGGGGCGCCGGCTGAAGGGGAAGGGGTTCGGCAGCCGCTTGGAGCACGGCCGTGTCCGGCCGGAGCGCCCCGCCGCAATGCCCGCCTTCCGGCAGGTGGGGGAGAAACAGCTGCCTCAGGAGGTGGTCTTCATGGCCTGGTCCCCCAAAAGGGACCTCATCGCCCTGGCCAATAGAGCGGGGGAGGTGAGTGCATGGCGACCGGACTGAGGGGAGGCGTGAGGAGGCATGAGGAGGAAAGAGCTGCCTCTGCGCTGCCTTTGCGGTTTGCTGTGGCATAGTGCTGGGAGATAAGCCAGGTGCCTGGGAATAGCAGATTTTTTTATCAAGCTTCTCGATACTTGACTGCACCTTCCTTTTTTACTTCCTTATTTCCAAACAAATTCACTGATGCTTCCATTGGCTGCAGCACTGGGGTTTTAAAGCACACGAAATTTCCTATTTAGATTAAATCTTTTCAGTTCTATTTATTTTTTCCCTTGAACTGCTGTTCATGCATGAAGCCAAGAGTGTGCTTTCAGCTGTGCTTGGCTAGGGAGGTGTGGATAAACCCTGTTGGTTACAGGCTTATACAAGATACAGCTTGTTTCTCTCTCTTGCTGTAAACGGTATACTGCCCTCCAAAACCACGTAGGAGTGAATCTGCAAGAGGAGCACACAATATTTAAGCCATAGGTATTAGAAGTGATAAAAGAAGTGCATCTTGAACTGATTTACAGACTGATATTAATGGGAGAATGTGGACTAGTCTTGAATGTGTTTGCTTTGTAGGTTTTACTCCATCGGCTTGCAAACTTTCAACGAGTGTGGAGTTTGCCTCCAAATGAAAATACAGGAAAAGAAGTGACTGCTCTTGCTTGGAGACCAGATGGCAAAAGTAATGTCAAGTATATGAGGTGATATGATGCAATAAAAATCCTGTTGCAAATCAGTGAAAGTTGTGATGATGCCTCCTATCTGTGAAGGAAATTTTTAAGCAAACTTGTGTTTGAAGAGAATGATGGCTTAATTTTATGAGGTTTATTCAAAGTAACAGGTTTACACTGTTGAAATCAATTGCAAAACAGATATGCAAGGTGGATTTTTGTCCACAATACTGCTTTCAAGGAGCAGGAAAAGTTCGAGGTCCTAATTAAGAAGAATATTTTTGTATGTAGTACAAAATTTATTGGGAGAGCAAGAGGCTGGTCAGGATTGACTGGAGAGCTTAGCTTATTTAACACAGGCTGAACTGCAGAGGCTAAAATTGCTCTAAAAATAAACCAGAAGAGGGGAAAAAAAAAAGGCCCCATTTCCTTATCAACAGAAATAATGTTAAAATTATTAGGGGGAAATCTTGGGTGGGTTTTTTTGACACATTATTGGTGGGAGATTGGGAACAGTCTTCTGTGACGTGGGTGAAAACTACTCATTGTTTTATGACGGAGTATGGGAGTTTAAGAAACTTCTTTTTAAGCTGGTTGTCTGTGATTACAAGGAAGCAAGGACAGAAACTGATGCCTGTCATATGCTTTACAGATGAATAAAGTTAACAAGGTGATGCACAAGTTGCTTAGCAAGTCTTAAAATTTTATTCTGTTGTAATAAAACCCAGACCTTCTTGGTGGACAGTCTTTATATATAATTATGGCCTCAAATTTGCAAAAAACTGAAGCTTCTGCTCTGCCAGAACAGCTGTTAGAAGTGTTAGAAGCATGTTCAGTTCAACATGTAGATAGATAATTGTGAAATCAGGCCTTTGACTTAAACCTATCACCTAAAATATGATGGGAGTTCAAACTTCCATTCTAGTAAGTAGATTTCAAATGAGAATTTGAAGGACTGTACATAGACAAAGAAAATTCTGCCCGTAAGTTGGCTTTGAAGACGCTTCATTTTCTGGTTCAGTCTTAAGCACTAAATTTTGCACATTGGTTATTTATGCATTTTACTCGTCTTTCTCTAGTTCTGGCTTTTGGCCTTACTGATACCAAGCGAATTATTCTGTGTGATGTAGAAAAACCTGAAAGCTTGCACTCTTTCTCTGTGGACTCATCTATTACATACATGCATTGGATGGAAGTAACTGAGGAAAGCAGGTGAGTTTGAAAAACCCTGGAAGTAGATTATGGGCTATGTAGTGCCACCTTGCTAATAGTTAATGCTTGGAACGTTAACAAGCAGTCATATAAAATAATATTACATAGCTCTGGCTTTTTTTTTACCATTTGGCTAAAATTTTCCTTTTTGTTAGACTAGAAATTCTCATACACTTATTTTTAGTGTTGATATCTTAGTCTTATGGTTCATTAAGTTATACACAAAAATTGCAGTATGATCTTGAGCGTCCACCTGAATCTAGATCTAGTGTGTTAGCTTGTACATCCATTTTGCTTCAGTACCAATTAATTTATTAAGATAATAATAATATTAATCTATTTTGTTAGAATATAAGTATTATACTGAAATCTTTCTTCACTTGTGTTTTCAAGATCTCTAGTTTGGTCCTGTATCTTTCACAGTGTGCCTTTGGTGTTACATTCAACCTCATTGGCAATACTGTTGTGGGTTTAGTTGCTTCAGGAAGTCAGACTGCCATTAGTGATCATGAGCCCTGTGGCATTCATGATCCCTGTTTCTGTGGTCTTACAAAAACCTCTGATAAGCACCTTGTTGCAGTACTAGACAATAATTAAGTAAAACATTGATTTTAAAAAAGGGAGGTAATGTTAGATCCCACCATCCTCCAGAAAATGCCAATCTTAAAATGTGAGGGAAATAACTGCATCTTAAATCATTCTTCTCCTGATGGGAATAGATTTATCTCCTTATGGCGTGTCTGAGGTATGGTATTTAGTATTGCAATGTAGTCTTCCTCTCACTGTAATATGCCTATAGTTTTTCTGAAGTATAGGTGGGTTATACTGCAGAGTTGTACAGGGTTTGAACAGAAAGCCTTGGTTAGTAACTGTATGACAGGAGAGAAGGATTTGATTGCAAGCTACTGAGCCAGCAGATACAAACTTTATATTCTTCTTTGGTGGAAATAAAAAAGATTTTCAGACTTCTTTATTAGTTTGATCATTTGATAAGTTACTAAAGGTTCCATAAGGAATCATCCTCTGATATTTGTAACTAACATATATAACGTAATGACAATATACTGTAATGCTGAAGTTAGAAATTCTCTTTCCCCCTATTTTACAGCTTGGGTGGTAAAGACAGCCTTACTTCTTTTTCAGTGTTCTCACTTCCTTTTACAATGCTGAGGATGAGTCAAATCTCCTTTTGCCTAAATTACCAGCACTACCAAAAAAGTAAGCATTATACTAATAAGTCTGGAAAGATACAATTTGTTGTTCGTTGTCTTTGTTTTAGTTATTCATTTCTAATGAGTATGAGTGCTTTGAGTTAGAGGCTTGCTCACTATTATTGAGAATATTTATTTTATTTTCAGTTACAGTACTACTGCAAAAATTTTCAGGTAAGAAATTGGCATTTTCTCTCCCTATTTATTGTTCTATTTTGTTTTCTGGTATTGAGACAAGCTGCATAAATCCTGATCATACATTTTGTATTTTCAGTGAAGAAAAGTCAGATGAGATTATGAAGCTTCTGGGTGATGTAAGGTAAATTCTGTATGTGGGTTGTGGGGTTGTTTTGTTGATGGGGTTTTTTATTTAAAGCTATAAAATAATGGATACTAGTGGGGTTACTTTTATGTTATTCATAATCTGTATTTAAGGGTCCTGGAGAAAGGGTATGTAATGTCTGTTTTTCATGTACAAAGATATAGTTAAAAAATATATTAAAGCCTCTGTCAGTTTATACTTTCCCTCTTTAATTTAGAGGGATTATAAGGCACTTTATCAGCAGCTGCTGTTGGTACCATATATTCTTTTTTGGAGAAGTTTCTTGGGCTGCATTTGAAGGCTATGTTGTGTTACTTAAGCTGGTCTTGGAGACATTAGTAAAATCTTGTTACAGATGGGAAACTCCTATGAGTTTGCACGAGTGTGACAAAGTTAAAATTAGCTCTGAAATCAGCTGTATTAGGGTTACTTCAAGGTAAATGTCTCTTACTGAGAAAGAGGAGAAGCTGGAGAAAGTGTAGCTTAGCAGACTGAGATTGGTTTTGTGGCATGCTTGCGGTGCATTTTGAGGAGTACCTTGTTTTTCCATTTGCTTTTTTCACTGTTCTTTACAGTCTCACCACTGAGAAGCATCCTCATTATTAAAAAATAAGAATTAAAAAATAAGGGCATCTGTTGCAAGTTATTCCTTAAGACTGTATTGATAGGTGGGCTGCTGCTAGAAACTGCTACTTTTTTTCCTTTTGGAAGATGTAACATTAATGAAGGACTTGTGTGCCTGTATTGTTTTGGGGTTTTTTTT